CATTCAAAGAAATTGAAATGTGTATAAAACCAGAGCTATATTGTTGTTAAATGTCTGTGTCTCTTACTTCTGTCTATAAGATTAAAATACGATGTTTGTAAATTATCTATATCGCTGCGTTTGTTGACAGAGTTTTCTCGCTTTATATTGATCATTTCACTTAATAATCTCTTTTTCAAAATTGTCTGTTTATCAATGATTCGTGTAGAATCAAAATCAAAAGTATGTAATGTAGACAAACTGTGTTCCGCAAGAGCAGTTAAATTTTGTTTGCGTTTTAAGGGATTGAAAACATTGATTACATCCCTCTTATGTTCTGTTATCCTTGTTCCCAAATAACGACCCGTTTGGCCTATGTAGCACTTTTCACAGTCATGGCAAGGAATTTGATAAACGACATTAGATTCCAAATTTGTAGGTGTTCTACTTTTAGTTTTTGAGAAATATTTCTTTCTAATTGTATTTTCGGCTTTCTGATTTACCTTTATATTGCCATTTGATAGTATTTTAGCTAACCTTTCAGACATATCTTTAATGTACCGAATCTTAAAATGTTTCACTTCATTTAGTTCTTTTCTATCATGATGATCTTGACTAGATAATATCTTATTTACTAAGCTTTTAGGATAATTATTATGATGTAAATAAGTTTTGATTAAATTTATGTTCTTTTGCCAGAAAGATGAATGTGATAACATTTTAGCGTGAAATTTTAAATTGTTTATAATATTTATTTTTTGAGATAATGGATGTTCTGAATTATAATTAAGAAATCTTTCATTTTTATGGTTAAGACCCCGCCCAACGTGAATCCGCGGTCAGAATTAATGGTTCTTTTTCTAACATCAAAAAAACGATCAATTAAAGTCACGAATTTTCAAACAATAACAGATTCGCGCCAAATTTGATATACGGGGTCGCTGATCACGGATCCGAGGTCAATTTTGCAAAATTCAAGATGGCGGATACAAGATGGCCGACCAAATTTTCAAAAAATAACGGCTATATCTTGTTCTCTTTTCTGTAAAAGATCTATTCACGACTTGAATTTTGTTAATCTGATCTCGGATTTGTCATCAGTGACCTCAAAAACCTCTGTATACCAAATTTGGCGCGAATGTGTTATTTTTTGAAAATTTGGTCGGCCGCCATCTTGAATTTTGCAAAATTGACCTCGAATTCGTGATCAGCCACCCCGAAAACCCCCTTGTACCAAATTTGATACGAATCTGTCATTTTTTAAAATTTGGTCGGCCATCTTGAATTTTACAAAATTGACCTCAGATCCGTGATCAGCGACCCCGAAAACCCCCGTATACCAAATTTGGCGCGAATTTGTTATTTTTTGAAAATTTGTGATATCTGACATTATTTGACCCGTTTTTTTGAGGTTAGAAAAAGAACCATCGATAATTCGCGATCGGCGGGAACATTTGAATATAGAAAAAAAAATGTTCTAGATTTCCTAGCACTTCTTCGTGAATTTTTGCTATTCTTGACATGTTTTTTGGGGTTAGGAAATTCCTGTGATGTGATAGCTCTATTCTGACACCGGATTCGTGACCAGGAGACAAAAATACTACTGATAACATATGTCGCATGAAAAGTACAGACTACTTTTTTTTGTGTGGCTGTCTAATTAGGGAAATTGATTTTTCTTATTTGAAGAAACATTTGTACAGCAACAGGTAGGGCAAGCGCCCCTCTCTGCCCCCCGTCCCGACGCCCATGGTAAAATCTAACAATAAAATTAATTCCTATATAGGTCAGTCCACTCACTTCTGTAATTTTCTTTCATCAAGTGCAGAAAATAAGACTTCCCAGAATTCGTTTTGGCCTCCCTTTTTCTCCTTGGATTCACTTGAACGGTGCCTCTCATAAAAGCAACCATGAACGGTTTTGTCTCGTCTCTTTCTTTCGTGACGACTACACCGACGTCTTCCAGCTTCACTTCCTTCCCTACAACAACCATTGCAATATTTTTAAATAATCTAACATGAAAATTATGCGGAACATTTGATATACCTACATATCGTTCAAATTATTCGCGACTATCAGCGCCATCTATGAAGAGTTACTCGAAGCGCAAGCTACGGAGAAACCCGATAGATGGCGCCGCAGTACTTATTTGTAAATTCGGGAATTAAAATGTTTTGAACATTATTTCTTACCTGGTTTTTGCAAAGGGGTAACAGTTAAGTAGATCCCATGGTTGGAGTCGGTGGAAGTTACCCACGAGCGTAGACAGGAAGTCATGTTAAATTCAGTCCAACCCAAGTAGCCAGCTGTGATGTTGACTGATGTGACTGGTTTGAGAATTTCACTGAAAATGGCGTTAGAGGCGATAAAATAATATTAAAATGGTGAATAAGCGCGTATAAGTAAGCGCATTTTTTTCGTTTGGTGTATTGTTGATTTTTAAACAATTATATCCGTGCCTTACCCTCTATCAGTTTTTATAATTTGCCACATCTGGATCGTATATTCCGAATACGGGTAGCGTTCTGACATTGTCAGCGTGGTGTTTTTGAAAACTCTCAATTCGGCTCCGATGATGTCTTCTGCTAACGGCGTTTTCGAAACGTTGAACCATAGCTGCTTCCCCCACCTGTGCCTTACAGTGTTAGCATGGCCGCCTGAAATTTCGGAATTCATTAAAAAAAAATAGGAAATACGCCTATATATTTGTAATTTATTTAACAATTCTTTGAAATATTAAATAGTGGTTCACGAAACTGATAGCAAAAATATAACAACTTTGTTTTGATTTCTATACATTATAATTTAAAAAAATCGAAAACAAGAAAAAGTAGTCATGAAGAATATATCAGTAGATGCAGTTTTTAAGACGCCTCAAACTTACTGAAACTTTCAAAAGTCATAATAAGATCACTTTCTTCTATTTGACTAAATTCTTCCTCAGTAATATCTGTCTCCGTGTCTCTTTTAACCCTGTTACTTTCTTCATCTTCTTCTTCCATCATTTTCCTGTACACGTCCATCAAATACCTGCAGAAACGAGAAATTAAAACCTAAATTGCTACTAATAAACATTGATTTTTATGTAAAGTTATTACAAGGTTGCTAGATATAATTGATATCAATGTCTTAACAAGAAAGTTTATGAAAAAAAAAACATGTATACGAATAAAAAATATATGTTTCTTCGTTTCTTACCTGGAAGCAGACATTTTCAAAGGCCTCTTGACCCCCTTAGGCCTTTTCGGCAACCCCAGCAAGTTCAAAATCTCTAACTCCACGTCTATTTTCTCCGTTTTCGACATTAAATGGTCCATGGAAGTTTGATCCAAACCGTTGTCTATATAAACAGCAGGCTTTGTCTGACAAAAAACACACGCCACCTTAAAAACAAACGCACAAAACACCAACTGTTTTATAAACATCTTTCACGGCCTGCTTGACGAAAAGACTTTTGAGCAGTATTGGCGATGTAATGGTTTGTTTTCTTTCAAATGCCCCTTAATTGAAGAAGGGATAATGCACCTTTTTATTTTATTGTTCCTGGAAGTAACGTAATGTAGGTAAATTTACCTAAGTGAGTGTTGCAAGAGGGACCTTTTCAGATCAATGTTTGTGAAATTGCATGTCCTTCAATTTCGAGAAATATACGACAGAGACAATTACACTTACAAAATAATTATTTATTTTAAAATAAGTCATTTAATTGTTAAAATTTTTTTAGTAAACATGTTTTTCCAGCGAGTGGATCATTTGTGCTGACGATCTCTGTTTTACTATAAATTTATTCAGTTTACTAATGAGGCTAAAGCTAGAGGCTTTTATTGAATTTTTAGTTTTCAACAAACAAAGAGGGGCAGTCTGTAAATGCATATACCGGGTAGGAAAGTACCGATGGTATATCTTAAGTTACGTGAGAGCGATAAAGTAAGCCATAGAAATCCATGCGATAGAGAAGGATGGCTATAATGAAGGCGTCTCATAGTCATCGCCCGTTTCGCCCTTCCGCAAATAAGATCCACTTCTTATTTGTGGAAGGGCGAAATGGGCGGTGATTATTAGACGCCTTCACTATACCCATCCTTCTCTATCACATGGATTTCTATGGCTTACTTTATCCCTCTCACGTAACTTTAGATAGACCATCGGTACTTTCCTACCCGGTATGTATTATGTTTAAAAATATATATCAAAAGTTACTTTATAAATAGGTATCATTTTTTTTAAATACAACACTTCACATTTATTATGTTTTTTTCTCTGTATATACTATTTTCTGTAGTAAGAACATGTTTTTAATGCGCGTGCGCAATAAAAACAGCAAAAACATGGCAAAAACACTGGTGGGCGTTATGATGCCAGACCCTAGAACAACCCATAATATAGAATCTAAAGTACAATTGTATTACCGACGTACCACATGTCGCCATCTGTTGTTGACATACTGAAATAAATCGGGCGGTAAATTTAAATTGCCTACAAATAATTCTTGCAAAAATGTTAATTTATTAGTACTAGTAAATAATAAATACATAGCTGTATAAGCAATACTTAAAAATTAAATAAGTTAGTATTATTGATTACGTAATATAAATAATAATAAATATATGTTTATTTATATTATTTTGTATTGTTTATACAGGGTGGGCCACCAGTAACGCCTCGGTCGCTAGTGACCAAACGGCAAATGTTACAGAAACCTGTTTAGGTGGGTATGTGTAGGTTGATTACGGCTACATTTTAAAAATATTTTGAGATATACAGGGTGTCCAGGAAAAGCGTACCATATCAAAGTTATGTTCTTTTAAATGGAACACCCTGTATTTTACTGCATTTTTGAAAGCACCGTAAAAAAATAGGTGAACTTTATTAAAGGTTCTGCATACCTAGGACTTACAGTTTGTGAGATATTTCAATTTTAGTGAAAATGCAGGCATAGCGTAGAAATTTAATATTAGCAATAAAAAAATAATTTTAAGGAAGCAGCTTTGGAGGGTCTATTTTAGATCCTTGAAGTTATAAATTGTTATATTTGTCGTCACTTAGTATTATACAGGGTGTTCAAAAAACTGCTGAATACTTCTCTCAACTTTAAACAGCAATAACTTGGTTATTTTAAATGGAACACCCAGTATATTTTTACTTTGGGAGTTGGGAAATTTAAAACTCTTTCAAACTGTGTATAGGTTCCCTATACCTATCTCTAACGGTATTGGAGATATTTGTGCCGTTTCGTTTTTTATCGATTTTTTTTGTAAGATGTATCCACGTGTCTTTATCGAGGTCTTTACTGAATTGGTTTGGGTTCTTCTTGATGACGTCTCTTTAAATATATTGAGAAAAATGAGGATGCAATTAGATGGCGCACCTGCAAATTTTTCATATTCAGTGAGAAATTATTTAAATCGAAAATTTAGTAATAAATGGATAAGTAGGAATGGTGCATGTCAGTGGCCACGTAGGTGTCCAGACCTCACCGTAATGGACTTCTTTGTTGCGAGCTATATAAAAAATCTTGTATACAATGTTCCACCTATTACTTGCGATGATATTGGAGGGAAGGATTAGAGATGCATTTGCGTGAGAATATCATTTGAAGATAGAATAAGATGCTGTATTCAGGAGAATGGTTATCAATTCGAACATCAATTAAAATTTTTCTTTGTTTTTTCTAAAAGTAGAAGTTCCTTTTATCATTATCATGAAAATATTCAAAAAAGTTTTCTAATAAAAAATATTATTTTATAAGCAGAATAATTATAAAAAGTTATTAATTTTGTATAAATATGTTTGTAGTAAGTAACTGAATTATTTATGAACATGAAAAATATTTATTAAAGAAAATTTTACTTTTAGAAGAAACAAAGAAAAATTTTAATAGATGTTCGAATTGATAACCATTCTCTTGAATACAGCATCTTATTCTATCTTCAAATGATATTCTCACATTCCTTAGAATATTTGGGGTGATTGTGGCAAATGCATATCTAATCCTTTCCTTCATATCATCGCAAGTAGTAGGTGGAACACTGTGTACAAGATATATTTTTATACAGCCCGAAACAAAGAAGTCCATTACGAGAGGTTTGGACACCTGTGGTAGCCACTGACATGGACCATTCTTACCTACTCATTTATTACTTAATTATCGATTTATATAATTTCTCACTGAATATGAAAAATGTGCAGGTGTGCCATCTATTTGCATTCACATTTTTCTCCTTATATTTAAAGAGACGTCATCAAGAAGAACCCAAACCAATTCAGTAAAGACCTCGATAAAGACACGTGGATACATCTTACAAAAAAAATCGATAAAAAACGAAACGGCACAAATATCTCCAATACCGTTAGAGATAGGTATAGGGAACCTATACACAGTTTGAAAGAGTTTTAAATTTCCCAACTCCCAAAGTAAAAATATACTGGGTGTTCCATTTAAAATAACCAAGTTATTGCTGTTTAAAGTTGAGAGAAGTATTCAGCAGTTTTTTGAACACCCTGTATAATACTAAGTGACGACAAATATAACAATTTATAACTTCAAGGATCTAAAATAGACCCTCCAAAGCTGCTTCCTTAAAATTATTTTTTTATTGCTAATATTAAATTTCTACGCTATGCCTGCATTTTCACTTAAATTGAAATATCTCACAAACTGTAAGTCCTAGGTATTCAGAACCTTTAATAAAGTTCACCTATTTTTTTACGGTGCTTTCAGAAATGCAGTAAAATACTGGGTGTTCTATTTAAAAAAACATAACTTTGATATGGTACACTTTTCCTGGACACCCTGTATATCTCAAAATATTTTTAAAATGTAGCCGTAATCAACGTACACATACCCACCTAAACAGGTTTCTGTAACATTTGCCGTTTGGTCACTAGCGACCGAGGCGTTACTGGAGGCCCACCCTGTATAAAAAGCAAAGTAAGATATGTCAATATTATTTTAAAATATAATCAAATAACTCTGTTATTAATGATTTGCTTTTACATTATTACTAATTCAGTTTTACCACTAGAGAAAACTACTGTTTCTAACGCACTTCTGTCTTATATTTTAAGTCGAGTGCAAATGTCAGCTTTAAGCTTTTGTTTTTTGGTGTTTCCTTGTTATTGATTGCTGAATAAAAGGACGGTTTTGCAGCCAATAAGAAAAAGAAGGCAGACGGTGGATCAACCACCTCTTGTAGAAGCAAACCTTTTATCTTTGTATTCTCCAACTAATATTTTTATTAAAAAATTTCGTCCTGTCTGTCAGAGAACTGCAGACTTGCGTTTTGGCGCGATATATCATAAAACTTGGTTATATAAAGAAAAATAATTTTCACATTTGCATATGGTACGAATCGAGTTTAAAAAGATTTTTAAGTGTGTACTGTACTGTAGTGTGTACTGTGTGTGTAGTGTAATGTGAATATAACCTTAAATTTCTTCTGAAGGAACGTTTTTAAGTCTGAATTATTGCAGACAGAAAATTGTGATAGCATCGCTTATATAATATTACTGAAACAAAAAATTAAAAGCCGCAATTATCTTACTACTACTATTGGTCATTATTGGCACTGCCAGCTTTAGCACAAGGTAAGAATTTTCAATTCAATTCCTAATTCTGAAGTCATCATCAACGACAACACCAGAAGATCCAATTAAACAAAATATTCTTTAAAATAAAACTAGTAACAAAAGGAATCAGGCTCTCAAACAAACAAATGGACATTTGTACACTTTTTTATTCTCAAAATGTTAACACATGATACACTCAAATACAAAGAAAGATATTTGCACTTAAATAAGATTGTTCTTGAAAGTCTCACTGGTACAGCTTATTTTTTAAAATAAATAAATATGTACTTGTAAAATAAAGGTACGTTAAAAAATAAAATGGCGTCTTAACTCTATTGGACAGATTTGATACATTTTAAGTAAAGCGTCGTACATTTGGAAACTGGTCTACAATCATTAAAAAGACGTCCAAAGAAAAAGTTATCGAAGCTTATCGATATATTTGCAAGGTATGTGCTTTTGACTAATTGACGGCAAATTATCCCCTACCATTTGGCTCAAAATACAGTAACTTAGAAAAAAAGCAATGCAGTGCACCACTTATATATGTACACTACCGCCAATTCGCAAATTTCTCGTTATTTTCTTAGATTATCGCATTTTTAACACCTTAAACTACCGTATCAAGTTTGTTCTTCAAATCCGTCGTCTTCGTGATCACGTTATCGATAAAAGGCCTCTCTGACGGAGCCACTTTGAGCATGAAGCGAACTAGATCGTGGACGTCCTGGAAGTAAGTAGAAGTTAAATCGTATAAAAAAAAATTACAAAATTATTTACTTCATTATACGGATATTCTTCCGGAAAATGCACCGTTCCCGATATCACAGCTAAGTTCACAGAATCCCCTCGCTCGTAAACAATGTCATAAGGTGACTTGAAGTACAACATTGCATACAGAACGCATCCTAAGCTCTAAAAAATCGTCCTAGTAAATACAGGCTATGCTACTTTATTCCTTACATACCCAAATGTCAGTTCGTTGGTCGATAACGCAGTAACTCTCCACGTGAAACAGCTCGGGGGCCCTGTACGTCATAGAACATCGCTCCGCGGCTATGTCTTGCAGCTTCTGGGCATCTTGCGCCCCACAAATCTGCACTTTGGCAGGGGCACATGAACCTAAAAATTATATAAATTAAATTCACTCATAATTTTGGTACAAAGCCTCACCTAAGTCCATTAAAACAGGGTCCAAGTTCTCCGTCAGACAAACGTTAGCCGTCTTCAAGTCACGATGTGCGATGGGATCTGGCGTGAAATCGTGCAGGAACTTTATTGCCTGGCATATTTCCCCGAATATCCTAAGAACCTCTTTAATGTCCAGATAATTCTTGTTGAAGGAACGTAGGGTGAGGTAATCGTGTAAAGTACCTCGCTTAAAGTAAGGCAATAGAAGGAAAGCTTCGGACGTCGCTTGAACAACTATATCGGCCGAGCCTACGATTTGTAAAACATTTAATTTCAAATTTAACAAAATTCTCACTGTACCTTTAAACGTGGAATCTATAAGTTCTATTATACTAGGATGCCTCAGCTTCTTATAGTACGTTATTTCTTGCATGGCAATTTTTTGATCCTCAAGGCTGTGGCATGTTATCCTCTTTAAGGCATATCTCTTCTTTGTGGAGGTATTCTCGACTAAATCTACGCACGAAAACCCCCTAAAATTAAACAAAATAAATATTGTACCCTCTTGTATCATGTATATTGTTAGAAATCGAGCGAAGACCAATAATGTGAACACTTAACCCAAGAGGCAAGGGCTAAGTAAAATAAACAAATTCCTCGGCTAGGGCAGATAAGACACATGGAACCATTCATTCACCATTCGGCATTCGGCATTCAACATTCGACGGCAGACGCCCTTATTTACTAGTTGTTTTAAATGCCTTATAAACTTTTTATATTTCAAACTAAAAACTTGTATTTAATGTAATATATTAAATATTCGCTGATAATTAGTGTGTTTCTAACAATATACAAGCTAACAGCTGTTCCCTATAAACTTCAAACTTACCCTTCTCCAAGTCTTTCTTTTACCACATATTTCGAACCGTTTATGTCTATGGACTCCCTTGAACAGATGCAGCCCATCTTTACTATCATGCTCAACCCCAAAGCGTTCATAATTATGTTATTTTTACTTCTATAAATAAATGTATACACAACGTGGACCCGACATACGTCATATTTAACCTAAAAACATTAACATTGACAATCAACAAATATAATATTGCCACATATCTAATATTACTATAATTATGAAACTACATTAGCGAGAAGAGTCCCCACGCCGAATGGTAGATTAAATGTATCGTAGGTTTTTTAATCAGATTTGGTTTGATAGTAATCTTTTTTACCGATCGTTGCCATCCGTAACATGCTTCTATAACCCTATTTTTCCCGGTCACTTAACCTTTACGATGTTTTGTTTCAAACAAATTAATTGTTTAATTCTTAATACCAGTAAGAAAACCCTTCATTTGGTGCAGGTGTGTCATAATTTTGCTACTCAACCAATAACAAAGAAAACTAGCTCCATTTTGCCTTCAAATCTTGTAAAATCCAAATTTTACCAAACTTGTGCAACATTGCAAATCAACCAGAAAGTTAAAACAGAATTTCCTGTTAGCACGCACGACTCTATCTCTTCCATTCAAATAAAAAAAAGACCTGCGAGGAAGAAAAAGATCATAGAGGAAGAAGGCAAAAAACCAGGAATATATAACGTGGTAGCATACGCGACTGCTGAAGAATATGATTTGGAAAAACTGGTGGAAGGCTTGAAGCAACAGGACCTCTACGAGCCGAAAACAATTGAAAATGACAGTGAGGTTGTACACGCTGTTGCAAAGTACCGTATCGGGAAAGAACCGAGGGAAATATTTTTCTTCAAAGAAGGTAAATCTGCGTCATTTGACATGGTGTTGCTATATTGAATTTTTTTAGGTAGTGTGGTGCTGTGGAACATAACAGACTTGGAAAGTAGTAACGTATTGTCGTTTTTAAGGCAATTCGAACAAGACAGTTACTCGGAGAGGCTGGTTCAAACGGAGAGTGAAATTATGAGTTATAAATATCATACATTGCCCGAGTAAGTCAGTATTAAATACTTAAAAGCAAAATATTAATGTTTTCTTTGAAAAAGTTGGTATAATTTTTTTTTCTAGTATACCCACATGTTTGGAGAAAGACGGAGATTTTGTTCTTGCAACTGAAAAGAATTTATCATTAGACAAATACACTTTGTCCAATGCGATGGTACTGTCCGTCAAATTAGGCATATGGGAGTCGTCTTTAGAAAAATACATAGACGAAATAGAGTTTGTTACGGAAGACTTAAAAAGGTATTTAAATCTTGTAAATTGAGCGTTTTTTGTAAAATCGGAATGAAAAACTTTCAGGGGGAAGAAAATCAGAATGACGAGGGAAGAAGTTCTTCGGAAACACGGAGAATTATTCGCTCTACGCCACTATTTGAACTTGAGCTCTGACGTTTTGGACACTCCCGATTTTTATTGGGAAAACGAACAGTTAGAAAACCTATACAACCAAGTCTGCGTGTATTTTTGCATAGCTAAACGCACCAAGGTACGTTCTGACTGTTAAACTTTACGTTGGTTACAATTTCGAATCGTTCTAGGTCATGAACGAGAAGATCAGCCACTGCGTCGCCCTGATAGAGCTCCTTTCGACGCATCTCAGCGACAAGCACCATATAAGGCTGGAGTGGATGATAATAATTTTGATCATGGTAGAAGTTTGTTTCGAAATAATCCACTATGTGGATAGATACATGCACTGACAAAGACTGCATTTGTATAACTAGTCGTAAGGTCCAATGCAATTATTAATTTGTTGTATATACTTTTTTATTAAAAACGCATTTTATTATATGTATGGAAGGTATAAATATATTTAGTGAACATCTTAACTGTTGATTTATTTATTTAAAAAAAAAGCGTTAAAACTTGATGGTGCTAATTTTTATTTGTTTTTGGTTTAAACCCAGGCTCAAAGAAAAAATTTTTCTTATTGTCTTTAAATCCGAGATTCACAAGTTTCTATGATAATAATACTGTTTTTATCCCTTTTAATATTTACAAAATTTTAACCCCAACAACTCATCAGAAAATTGTACAAACAATGCATAGATTAGTAAAAGATTTATAATAATGGCTGCCCCAAAATTGACGAAAGATTTGAAGTTAGCGCCATTTGTGCGGTAAAGTGTTGCCAACGAAAAGAAAAAGACAGCTGACAGTTCAGAGTTATATCCCATATCCTTTACCAAACTCATAAAATCCTACCTACACCACCGAAAATTCCGCATCCAAATCCAAGATTCCCTTTCCACCACCCGTCCCATGGAGGCCGGTGTCCCCCAGGGCACCGTCCTGTTCCCACACCTATACACCATTTACAACTCCGACATCCCACATCCCCCCAACACCATATACTTATACGCCGACGACCTGACAATCACATCCCAATCCGTAGATCCTAAATATTCCGTCTCCCTCCTCCAAAACTCCTTAGACCAACTTGAAACCTGGTGCAACAGGTGGAAAGTCAAAATTAATCCCAACAAAAGTTCGGCCATCCTTTTTACCAAACGAAAAATCCCACAAAACCTCGACAGACTGACACTATCCCAGGAACCCATCTCCTGGAATCGACAAACACGATACCTGGGCGTGACGATGGACCAGCGTCTCACGTGGAAACCGCACATCGTGGAGACGGTGGCGCGAGCGAAGACCACCAGGGCTAGGCTCTATCCCTTACTCAAAGGTGGAAACACCCTCAGTTTAAGGAATAAGCGAACGCTTATCAAGGTGGTACTTCAACCGCAGCTAACCTAGGCCTCCACGGCGTGGGGTCACGCGGCAAAAAGCCACTTAAAGTCATTACAGGCTGTGGAAAACTTAGCCCTCCGCACGGCCACCGACGCGCCCTGGTACGTAAGAAACACTGACATATTACGATACTTACAATACACAAACGCTACACAGACAATAAGACAAAACGCGGAGAAACGGTTTGACGTAACCGCTAGACATGACAATCCCCTCCTCAGGCAAGCCGTTGACTACATACCCGACGTGACCGACAAACACAAAAGACTTAGACACCAACTTTTTGACCCTGGGTGACCACCCTAACGACACCCCCCCCCCTGCCCGCTAACCTTTTCTGTTTCAGAGACAGCCAGGATCAAGAAACGAAGACAACGACACATACACACACACACACACACACATACACACCCCCCCGTGCCCTCCTTACCCCTCCCCTGCCGCGCTAGCCTAAGGGCCACCTTAGCAAACCGCATCCCAGGCTGCATAGCCGCACTACCCTAGCCTACCATACCACACATAAACATGACACCACCCCCGGGGTTTACACAGACGAGCCGGCGAAGCAAGAAGAGCGCCAGAAGAAAGGGCCCTAGCCGGCGGGGCCCAGCCAGGACAAAAGGAGGTCCCACAAAGCGCCTACACCGGCCGCATTTGTGGTCGGAGTAGACGACGGCTGGGGCCCACCTACGAAGGCTGTCCAGGCCTACACGAGATGAGGCAGGATAAAGAGGGATAATCCCCCTCGATCCCAAATCATTGAGGCCAATTTCTAGCCATGGAATAATGGCGCGAATTCAGAGTTATGGAAAATGGAATGCTACGCGAAAGAACAACGCGTTTCCATTGTTGAGCAACATTTTAAAAATAATGAAGGTTTAGCAGCCATAGTTAAACACTGGCCATCCTTCAACAAGTCGTTCAACACAAAACATCAAAACAGTTCTAGAGAGTGTAGCTGAGAGTCCAGAAACATCAATAGACTCTTTTAGTATGACGTGTGATCAACTTTCGTATAAGGCATGTTTGCGCCAATATAGTCATCATTTCACGTGTAGTATCTTCAGCTTTCGACTTTCCCATTGTTAATGAATCACCCTGTATGTACAAATAGATCATAAGAGCATCTGATATTTTTTTATGAGTAAATGTTATTTAAAACCTTTTTCAAAAATTTCCACGCAAGATCATTAAAGTTTCAAGTGTTTGGATCACAAAGCGTGATTTGGTTTTTATTTACTAGCAAATGAAATTTGATAATAAAGTAATTAATTACGAGAAATCTGCAATAGAGAAAGATTTGTAAAAAAAAATAACGTATCTCTTTGATAAAACGATAGGTTGTAAGGCTGTATTTATATCTACAAAAAGATAAGATCACCGTAGTACTGAAGAATATTTTTTCTATTTCTGTAAATGCAGATTCTTGATATGAAGTAACATATACAAGTTCTAGAGTGCCATTAAATTCCAGCACAGCAGTTTTTTTATTTAGAAAACTACAATTTTTTACCACTTACATCTAAACAAAGCGACTTTGAACAGAAACAAGCTTAGTTAAATCAGCTTTTTACTTTTACTCCTAAAATCTATTATACTTCCAAAAAAAATAAGGTTTGTTTTGATGATTGGTGCACCGTAAACGAGATTTAAGTAATTTAATTAGTTACTATTATTGTGTATATATATGTATAAACCTTATTTAGAGGAAATTTAGTTTTTATTATGTAAAAAATAATAATTGATTAGTATTACGAAATTATTTTTTTTAGATTTTTTTTAATTATTATCTAAATTCAAATGCTGACATGGAAAAAAAGAAAACCTGCCTACTTTTATAAATAAAAAACAATAAAATACAACGAAATAACAATATCAACTTTTTTAAATTTTTTAAAAGTGAGTATCTCGTAGTAGTACTTTGCCAGGAATATCTTTTTGCGCAAAAAAGATAGTAAAATGAAAAAAAATATATCAAAGAGGCAGATATACCGAGAAGCAAGAAGTTTTGACATTTTAAAGACATGTCAAAGTTCTGCAAGTGGCGTCCTCTAATAATAATAAGTAGGTACCCACTAAACATTTTTTCAGTTTCTGACATGTTCCAGAAACGTTTCCATTTTTCTTGAAACGTTTCATAAAAAACCATGCAACGTTCTGGTAACCCAATAGAAACCGAAGATGTCCTCCCCAAAATACGTTTCCAATGAAACGTTTCAAAAAATTGGTTTCAGTAACATTCTTTTGATGTTCCATTTATGCACTAGATATTTTTGTTTTACGTTTCAGTATATTTTCAGAAATGTTTGAGTAACATAATAATTTTATTACCATATTGTTCTCATAATGCTCTCAACTTTAGATAATTTCCATTTCAGAAGCGTTTTTGAAACAGTATAAACAGTGTGAATAATTTTTTAAATATTTCTAATAATCTTGAAATGGTAGGTACATGAAAAACAAATAACATTACTGAAAAATAATATAAAGAAGTTACAATTTCTTCTACGCATAATCAATATTACATCTAACCTTTTTATAATAAATTTTACAGTAGAAATAAATAAGATACAAAAGGATATATTGAAAAAATAAGTATTTGTAGGTATACTTAAACTCTTTTATTTAAGCATTCCTATACACGTACACAAATATAAACATTTGTACAAAATATAAAATAAATGACATATATTTCACTTGTTTTTTCCGTATTTCAAATAGTTCTCCGAAACGTATAGTTCCATGTTCCATTTTTTTTAGTTTTTGTCCTCTTGTCTTTAATAGGTATTAGGTAGTGGGTATAACTATGTTTAGGTAGATGTGACGCAAAATTCGAAGTCTCTACACATATCGTTTTAAACATTTTGCATCAATATTCATTATTTTATATGCACCTTACAATAACCACAACTGCACACACTATAAATTATCACATAAAATAGCATCAAAGTAACGATCATGGAGACTATTCTCCCTGGTAACGATGAAGAACAACGAAGCCAGGCAAACGGGTAAAGGCAAACCGCAAACCTAACCTAACACCTAGCATAATACGAATTAGGCACACGAAAAATAAATAAATTCGGGCTGTTACGCGCGGTCTGCGCAAGTCACGAACAACATTTTTTCTAGACTTGTGTTATAAATATGTTACCACAATTTTTTTTCTGTTCATGTCTGGTTGTACATATAACAAAGGCAAATGAACTAACGCTTGCTATAATGATGGGGCTTGAGAGCAAAATTTAAGTAATGCCGAATGGAAGTTCCATAAGATAAACAAAAGCAAAGTGTTGTTTGTTTGTCGTTGTTACGTTCCCGAGATCGAAAGGGAATGTTTCGAGTAATGTTTCAAACTCTCTTCAATTGGAATGTTTCGGCTATGTTTCACGAAGTAAGTTTTCAAGTGGTACATTTCTGTAATGAAACAGCAACATTTCTAGTTATTGTTTCAAATGTGTAATAAAACAGCTCATTTGCAACGTTTCATTTACGTTTCGTGTTTAGTGGGTAATAGCAAAATTATGATCGGATTTGAATTAATCGCCTCAAAAAACCTCGGATCCCTAAAATTTGCGCAACATCTGTCATTTTGTCAAGGTTGTTTAAAAATAATCAAAACACAGTTTTCCACTTTGACACCCTACTTTTTTAAGTATACACTTTTGGCCGAAGGTACGTTTGGTTAAATCGTAATATTTTAATGTGCCGAATCCGCTGTTGCTCCATCGACACCCTGTAAATAATTAAGACGGCACTTAAATAATCAATAACGTTATTCTTGTCCTTACAACGCTTATCTGGGTCACGTAACGCAAAACGAAACCGCTCAATGCCGGTCGCGACCGATAAAAAGAGAGGTGCCGACTTATCCCCAAAAACGTGCAAATGAATGAAATAGTAAACAACCAGACGACCTTGAATACACGTCACACACGATAGGGAAATGATTCGGAAATTCCTTTCCCGCGACTCACGCATTTTAGTCGCTGAGAGCCGCCGACGGCTAACCACCGCTTCGCGCAAAACACCCAATGTGCCTTTTCTAGTACCAACACCAACTTCACGACCACAGTTTTTCAAAATGGGCTGCAGCAGCTCCAAAGTCGAGATCTCGAAAGGTAAGTAGGCCTAACTGCTCGACAGCCTTTTGTCACCGCCCGAAGTAGGTCATTTGCGTTCGCTCGTGAAACATAACCTTCAATTAGACGCGGCACCGTAACCGATCGAGGAAAAAACGTCAACATTGAGAGTTATGTCAAAAAAGACGAGTAACATTGTTAAAACACCGTCTTTACGGGCGCAATCTCGTTTAATTGTTTTGGAAAATGGCGGGTAGGTCCTTTGCATCATAGACGTAGCACACTATTCACAACAAAAACAACACAGCCACTATTGATCCGCGATCTAAAAATAGCACCGTAAAATGTACTCCCTTGTAGCGCTTGCTAGCCATTTATTTCGAAAAATTCAATTCCAAACACTTATTTCAGCTACCGATGTGGCAAAGGAGAACCCCGATGACTTCGTTGAGGGGGTGGTGTGCCAGGTGTCGGACCTCAAGGAGAACGAACTGAAAGCTTTCGAGTTGGACGAGGGGAAAGTGTTAGTGATCAAGCAGAACGGGAAGATCAATGCTATAGGAGCAAAATGCACCCACTACGGTGCTCCGCTAGTCAACGGCGCTGTGGGAGACGGACGGGTCAGGTGTCAGTGGCACGGGGCGTGTTTCAGCTTCGCCACAGGAGACATCGAAGACTTTCCCGGTGAGTAATTCAATTTTTTTTTTAATTCCAGTTGTAATCAATCAGTCTTTATTTATGTGCTGCCACTGAAGTCAGATCGCTGAAAAGTAAATTTTCTACTACTATTAATTTTGCGGTATTTATCTGTAAGACCTGTTTTGTATTTTTTTTTTGGTTGAATATCATCAATGTCAAAATCCTAAGCTTGCTGTTTTTTTTAGTCACTAATTATTGAAAATTTAACACTATATTAATCTACAGCTCTCAAAGTAACCTTGTATTAATTTGTAAATATAAATTTTAAAATCTAAATTTATTTCCATTTATTTAAATTAATTTATGCATGTAATTTTTTCTGATTAAAAAAGAGTAATGTTGCACTTTCTCATGAAAAATTGCTCTGTTTCTTTCACGGTCTTAAATTAATAGTTAAAAAATTGTAGTAGGCCAAAAGATGTAGTAAATTGGTGTCACAATTAATGAAATGTATACGAAGTTCACTTGTTTTTTACTTACTACGTTATTGACCAACGTACCTATACTTAGCCAAACTTTAATCACGGATTCTACGTCACAAAATAAAAAAACTGTAAAGTGCCTGCAGGAACTTCGTTTTTGAGATGCAGAGCGTTACATATGAAAGTTATGATTCATTTCTGATTCTAAAAATAGTTGAGGGTAGAAATGTAAATAATTTTGTTTTATTCATAGATAATATGATTGTTTAAACTATTATTATTGTTATTTCGATACGTCGTATCGCATTTTGCATTTACCGCCAGAATAATAAGTCCTAACATGCATATGTAAAAAAAATTACATTTATTTTAACCTTCTTAATAGAACGATTATTTAAACAAGCAATTTCAAATGCTCTAGGAATAGATAACTGTGATAACACTACATTTGCACCTTATCTAAGCTGATATATCCCATTAATCTAAAAAAATCATGACAAGCAATAATTTAATAGTACTCTACTAGAAAATAACACTTATTTACAATTATTAAAGTGGATATGTTTGATTCCGGTCGTAAATAGTAATTTCCAGTAATATTCCACTTGATGTAATCGAGTCTATCGCTATCTCAGAGAAATGTATCTGTAGTCGTTATAAAATATTGTCCCAACGTTAAGTGTCGGTGATAACGTCGCCAAAAAATGAATTTAATTAGTCAGACGTAAGTTGTAAATCAGGATTAATATCAGGCTGAGCTAAAGTTCAAATCACGCAAAATGTATTTTTTCTAATTGTAATAAATTTAACGACACTTATTTTAGATAGTAAATAATTCTTTGAAAAATGTAATAAGTAAACATTCGATTTATCTACAAGCGTTTTCAATTTGTAAAATCCTAAAAAATTTCAATATCAGCAAGATAAAAGTAGAAACTAAATTTGTTTATTATTACGAATGATGTAACACGAACGTGTAAATGCATAAAAATTTATTGCTTTACATGATTAAATTTTGTATTTGGGAGTAGTTACACCATTAGTGTAATTCAATTTAATTTAAAAATAGAACTTGTACGAAATGTACTGCACATAAATTTAGATACTTAAAAGTTAATGTTTGTTTTTCATTTTAATCACCGTCTTGGTTTAATAAAAAAAATTTACAAACAACAATTGGATACTAATTTAACTCGATCGCCACCAGAAAATTAATACATCTAAATGCAAAATGACTAAAAGTTGCCCTCACTGATTTCTTTTTACACATAGAAATTTGTGCAGATTGATTTTTAATTTCAACAAAGCATATTTCAATACAGGGATTTCATTCCCTCTATGACAAAGTGATACCTTATTTTTTTTAAAAAAAGAAAGTCTTGGAAAGGGTATAATTAAAATTAAATTTATTTTTTTCAATAATCTGGACCGGAAGTTTTTTATTTTTCACCAAAATTTGTACAAACTAAAAAACAAATGTAAAATCTGCACCTTTATTAAAGATTACATGGCAAGTCATGATGAGGAATTTTTTAATATGAGCTTAGAAATGCTCATTAAAAGCAGAAGCCATTACTGCGAGCGCTGTGGCATCTCTATTATGAATTTTAATACACATATGAGTTTTTGTTTATTAAAACACTACTTTGCATACATCAGATGATTTGCTGATTGTATTTTGATAGAATTCCTTTTTAGCTTTGCTTAATAAACTTGTATGTTGTTTTTTCAAAATTACATTACAGAGATATTATTTTTTTAATCTATCCGACACCATGTACTTTTGAGCACCACTGCCCACACGGAAAGTAATCGTTTATATGTGAACACCAACGAATTGTAAGTTTGCCAAGTCACGTGTCACAGAAATTATTTACAACAAGATCCTAGTCCTTTAGTTTCATACTTCAGATTAAATCTAACTCTAAAAGGGTGAATTACATTATAAAGAAAACCTAAACAAAATTAAATTCAGTGCGTTAAATGCTATTATACAGGTTAAAATTGTACTATTTAAGAAGTAAATCCTGTTAAACTACTCAGAAAATAATTTTAACCAATAAGTACTTATCTAATGAAGAAAAATGAGGTAGAGTTAAACAATTAGTTACTACAAACTATGTTTAGTCAAGAGCCTGTCAAGTTTAAGTCGTAACCTTCCCATCCACATGCACACAATGATGCAACTGTGACCAAATAGGGGTGGCTACGGGCATGGAGAAGAATTGATATCAATAAAGGATCATAACCTCAAACGTTAGTATATTATAGAATGCTTGTTTTCTGTTATCTTTCTTTTTTTTAAGAGATACAGAAATTTTTAAATTGAGAAAATTTATAATAGTTCCAAAGATATTCGAAGGAAACCGATTTTATGCTATCTCTTTTTTTAGTCGTATTTCATTTGTTTTTCGAAACTTTAGGGCAAAAATGTTAGTCCAATTAACTATGCCTTTAAATCTAAATTTTGTCAACTTGGCTGAATTTTTGATATGAGTTAGTTTAAGGTATATTATAACAATAAGTGAGAGTAATTTTTTGTTCAACCCCCGGCCAAGGGTGGAAAAAGATAAAACAAAGGGCTTTTTCAAGATAACTCAAAAAGGGTAAGAGCTAGAAAAGCTGAAAGTTGTAAAGCAGACAATTCTACATAAAAATGGTCTCTTAGCTTTTTCTTGTACTATTAAAATTAACAGAGTTAGGGAGGCTAGAAGTTAAGGGAAGATTTCAGAAATTTAATTTTGTTAAATCATTAAAATTAACGATTAAAAATTTGATGTTTTGTTATAACTTTCTTATTAAAAATTAAAAAATATATCTATTTCTCTGAAAAGAAAAGTTACATATTTTAGAGCAGATTGAAAAAAAAAAATTACAAAATTCAATCATTTTTCTGTTTGTTATGATTTTTTTTAAATTTCTGAAATCTTCCCTTAACTTCTAGCCTCCCTAACTCTGTTAATTGTAATAGTACAAGAAAAAGTTAAGAGGCCATTTTTATGTAGAATTGTCTGCTTTACAACTTTCATGAAACTTTTTTTTCTAGCTCTTACCCTTTTTCAGTTATCTTGAAAAAGCCCTTTGTTTTATCTTTTTCCACCCTTGGCCGGGGGATGAACAAAAAATTACTCTCACTTATTGTTATAATATACCTTAAACTAACTCATATCAAAAATTCAGCCAAGTTGGCAAAATTTCGATTTAAAGGCTTAGTTAATTGGACTATGTGTAGCCTGATATTAAAGACTGTGAGTAATCGATTTTGTCGTCAGTATTATCATATCTCTAAAAATGTGTGCTAGCACGGTAGTTATATTTTGTTTTTTTATGGACGCCATATTGAATTTTTGGCTCATTGAAAGAAAAGGGAAATTCTCTTTATAACGAAGTATAATTTATGGGGTTTTCATAAATAAATAACTAAGATATTGACAATAATTATAATTTTAATAAAAAAGTCAAGTAACCACGTGAAACATTTGAATTTTTCCTGTAAATTAATTTAATATTTCCAATTTTTAATACTTTTTAAAACAGCAACCTTTATTTACATAATAATAACAAGAGCAATGAACAAAACAACATGGGGATTTTCAAGGTCGTTATTTGGAGGATAAACAAAACCATAACCCCATTTTTATTCTAAGCAATTTATATGTTTATTGGAATTGTTAGTGCTATTTTGTATTAAAATAACAAATTTTATCACAAATATTCGAAGCTTACTACCTATGTCCCATAATAAATTACCTCCACACTACCATACAAAATTTTGTTATTTTAATACAAAATAGCGCTAACATATAAATTGCTTAGAATAAAAATGAGGTTATGGTTTTTAATGTTTTCATGGTAAAAAGACATAACCTCTAACTACATTAAAAATTATTTTAAAAAAATATAAATTATAATGTACAATACACATAACAGATATTCGATATGAAGAAAATGGAACATTGAGTTTATATTTGACTTTTTCATTTCCAATTTCACAAAAGAAAACTATTAATTGCATGTTCTACACAGTAAACCGTACTACTGTTTAAAATATATTATTTTTTTTAGGTCCGTACTAAATCATTTTATATTTTTGTTAATCCGATACCTTTTTGCTACATTTCTGTAAAATGTACCCATAGAGATATTCACTTCGAAGCAGTTCATAAATATATCACGAAAGCATTTATTCGCTTGATCTGTTTTATTGAGATAATATAAATTCCTCAATTTTTATTTAAAAGTACCAAAATGAAACATATTTTCTTCATGGAAACTTCCTTTCTCAGTAACAAATCCTTATAAAACATGATGCTGCATTGCATATGCATTAATTAAAATACTTATCAGATAAAAGTAACACCTTCGACTTTGTTGTATTTATTGCTGTAATCTAAGCGGTCCATAAATTTTTTGACAATATGACTGTACCTAATTCCGAGGATTATAATTAAATTTCTTTTCGGCGATTATATTTATTACACTTCAATCCGCACAGCAGCGAAAGGATGACATAGATACGTCAAGTCCGTTGACCAGATTATCAAAACAGCTTAAAAAACAACGTGTATCTTATCTTGTGGTTCTGCTTCCAGGTTTGGACTCTTTACCTTGCTACAAGGTCACCATCGAAGATAACAACGTCAAGGTACGCGCCAGGAAAACGGAATTGGAAACTAACAAACGTGTCAAGCCGATGGTGAAGAGGAACAGGAAGGAGGGGCAAAGCATCGTGGTTGTTGGAGGTGGCCCGGCCGGCGCTACTTGCGTCGAGGCGCTGCGGCAGGAGGGATATACGGGTCGGCTTACGCTCGTTTGCAAGGAGAACTGTCTGCCTTACGACAGGGTATTTGATTTCTTATATACGTGTCTAAGAGAAACCACAAGAACGCCAAGGATTTTATCAAGCCAGCCATCTTGATGCTTCCTCACTTGTACCGCATAGATTAGGAATTGTTTTAAACCGTCACATAAGGCATATATATGTTAAAATTAATAGCAAGATGGTTTGCAGAAATTAGATCCACTTTAACGAGGTGTGCATTGAAAACACAATATCCGACTATCGCTCCAAACGAAATTTTGACAGTTCGGCAAAATTTTCATTACTTCGATGTTGAAAAGACTGAAAATATCATTTTTTACATGAAGAAAAGCGAGATATACTTCAAATTTATGAAAGTTGATTCATCTATGTGGAAATTACTATTTTAATTCTTTAAATTTTGAGGTTATCAATTAAAAATTTTCGGAACTGTCATAATTTCGTTTTTGGTGATAGTTGGATGTTTTGTTCCCAAAGCACTTTTTGTAAAAGTGGGTAACAAAATATCTCGACAACCGAGATCCTCATACGGCGACTTAAAAAAACAGATGCACGGTATAGTTTTACACTTTAACAGTGTGCTTTGAAAATAAAACATCCGACTATCGCTCCAAATGAAATTTTGACAGTTTCCTGACATAATCGTTGCAACTTCTAAGTTTAGTGAACTAAAAATACAATTTTCACATGAATAAATGTGTGATATACTTCAAATTTATTAAAATTGATTAATTCATGTGGAAATTACTATTTTAATTCTTTAAATTTTGAGGTTCTCAATTAAAATTTTTCAGAGCTGTCAAAAATTTCTTTTGAGGTGATGTTTGGATGTTTCGTTCTCAAAGCGCTCTTCGTTAAAGTGGATAACGAATAATAAATGTGTTTTTAGGTGAAAGTGAGCAAGGCTATGGACTTTGAAATCGAAAAGGCGGAATTCAGAACAGCCAAATTCTACGAGGACCATGACATAGAGGTGCTCAAGGGCATCGAGGCGACAGGCCTGGATACTACGGAGAAGACCGTATCGCTCAGCAACGGCAACAAACTGGAATACGACAAGGTGTTCATAGCAACGGGTTGCAGGGCGAGAAAAGTCGACATTCCCGGCGCCGACCTTCAGAACGTTGTGGTGCTCAGAGATTACGCACATTCAAAGTGAGCGACTTTCCTATTATTTAACCTTTTTTATCTTAGGTTTCTTCGAGATTTCTCAAAATTAGCGAATCTGTTGCGTCTTATTACATAACGAGACAGGCAGTGCCAACAATGGCCAATAGTAGTGAATACTGAATTTTTCATAGATACACCAACGCGCAGCTCCGCGACGACAAAGAGGTGGTCGTCCTGGGCTCCAGCTACATCGCCTTGGAGGCGGCCAACTACTGCGTAAACAAAGTGAAGAAGGTGACGGTCGTGCTGAGAAGCGACGTGCCCTTCAAGCCTCTGCTGGGATCCAGGATCGGGGCTGCCTTCATGAAGCTGTTCAAGGACAAGGGGGTGCACTTCATCACGGGGAACAATTTGACCAGGGTGAACGAGGACGGGCACGGGAACGTGGTCAGCGTGGAGTTGAAGGACGGTAAGAGATCCGTTCGGGTTGTATTATTACAAAAAAAAATTGGTTTCTGCGGTATTTTTTTTTATCGAAGCCTTTTCCGTCGTAGGTTCAACCCTCAAGGCGGACCTGGTCATAATGGGCGTAGGGAGCACCTACTTCACGGACTTCGTGAAAGGCTCGGGCGTCGAGATGATGGACGACGGCACCATAGAGACGAACGAGTACCTCCAGACCAACGTCCCCGAGGTCTACGTCGGGGGAGACATCGCCTACGCCCCGGTATGGTCGCACCACAACAAAAAGTCCGCCATCGGGCATTACCCCCTCGCCCACTACCACGGGAAGGTGGCCGCCTTGAACATGCTCGGCAAGCAGAGGAAGCTCGAGGCGGTCCCGTATTTCTGGACCATGCTGTTCGGCAAGGGCGTACGGTGAGTTTATGCGACGTAAAAGAAACCTAACCTCAAAAAATATCACTGGGAAGGATTAACGCTACTGTGCGTTTACGTAATAACTTGGCGTCTATTATTTATACACGTCAAGCAATATTATGCAATGCGCAAATTCATAATAATTTAACGTTTCTTTTAGGTACGCTGGCCACGGCGAGTACGACGACATAATCTACGCCGGTAACCCCGAAGAGTTGAAATTCTCCGCTTTCTACTTGAAAGACGACGCGGTGGTGGCCGTGAGTTCCTGCGCCATGGACCCCGTCGTTTCCCAGTTCGCCGAGCTGCTGGCCCAGGGCAAGACACTGACGCGGAACGACATCAAAGACGATCCCCTAGCTTGGACCAAGGACTACTGAAGAGGCTATTTAGTTTTATTTTAAGCCGCGACTTGCCTCCCGGTACCGAGACCCGATTTAGTCCCGTGAAAAACAATGACGTAATGCGTGGAAACGAGAATATGGTAAAAGTACTGTTTATTTTATCCCTTGATTTTGAATTTTCGAGAAACGACCCGACCTGACTTACTCGTATGTAGATAGATACGTTTTTATATAAAGTTAGGTTATGTCAGTCGGAAGTTTTTTTTTATATGAAGTCTTGTTCTTTTGGTACGTTAAATTAATTAAAATAAGTCATTGGCCAAACAGACATAGGCGTTAAATGGATGTAAATGTTTTGATTTATTTTTATCAGATATCGTTTTTAATCTTACCCTTAGAAATAAATTTGCGGAGCTTAGTAACCTTATTTCAGAAGATCAAACTAGACAGGGGCAAAATGGAGTAATAATAATTCATTAATTAACTATAATTTTCCTTAAAATTTCAAAAAATTAGTTTCTCAAGAATTTTTAGAACTAATTTTTTTTCCCTTTTTTTTATAGTGTTACAAATAGTGACGATTTTAATGTTGTGTGAAACGTACAAGTTACAATTTTGAGTACTTTTTTTACTTCAAAACTAAATTCGGTCGCACCAAATTAAGTTCAAAATTCTTGTTAAATACATTCAAAAATAGGTTTTTCTCAAAAACTAAATCCGACAGAACGATAATAATTTCACATTCGTGTTCATCACAATAGAAAAATGTTTTCTTTAATTTCCACCACAAATATCGTTTTTAATCTGTTACCCCAAAAAATAAATTTACGGTACTTAGTAACCTTGCTTGGAAAGGGGAAGAAGGGGACAGAAAGCGGGGCGAAGGAGAGAGAGGTAGAGAGATGAAATGGAATAATAATAAACCATTACATAAACATAATTTTCCTTAAAATTTCAAAAAATACATTTTCCAAATTATTAGATCTCCAATTACGTTTTTTTTAAGGTATAAATCACACAGTTTTACAAATACTGATGATTCGAGTGTTGTGTACTTTTTTTTTCCTTCAAAAGTAGATTCGACTGCAGCAAATTAAGTTTGGATTTGTGTTCAGCCCCTTCAAAAATAGGTTTTTCTCTCAAAAACTGAATTGGACGGCACAATAATAACTTCACATTCTTGTTCATCACAATAGAAAAATGTTTTCTTTAATTTTCACCACAAATATAGTTTTTAATCTGCAATCCCAAGAAATAAATTTACGGTACTTAGTAACCTTGCTTGAGAAGGGGACAGAAGGTGGGCCGAAGGAGAGAGAGAGAGGTAGAGAGAGATGAAATGGAGTAATAATAAAACATTAGATAAATATAATCTTCCCTAAAATTAAAAAAAATATATGTTTTCCCAAGAATTATTAGATCTCTAGTTACGTTTTTTTTTAAGATATAAAGTATTACAAATAGTGATGATTCGAATGTTGTGTGAAACTTACAGGTTACAATTCTCAGTACCTTTTTTTTCCTTCAAAAGTAGATTCAATAGCACAAAAATTAAATTTAGATTCATGTTCAGCACCTTCAGAAATAGGTATTTTTCTCAAAAACTAAATCCGACTGCACAATAATAAATTCACATTCGCGCTCAGCACAATAAAAAAATGTTTTCTTTGATTTTCATCACGAATATCGTTTTTAATCTGCAACCCCTAGAAATAAATTTACGGCACTTAGTAACCTTGCTTGAATAGGGGTAGAGGGGGTTGGAAGGCTGGGGGAAGGAGAGAGATGTAGAGTGAGATGAAATGGAGTAATAATAAAACATTAGATAAATATAATCTTCCTTAAAATTTCAAAAAAATATGTTTCCCAGGAATTATTAGATCTCTAATTACTTTTTTTTTAAGATATAAAGTGTTACAAATAGTGATGATTCGAGTGTTGAGTGAAACTTACAGGTTACAATTCTCAGTATTTCTCTCAAAAATTAGATCCGATGATACAATTAGCATTCAGCCCCCTGGAACAAAGTTTTGATTAATTTTTCCCACAAATATCATTTCTAATGTGCTACCCCTCGAAATAAATTTACGGTATTTAGTGGCCTCGTGTCAAAGAATGAAAGACGAGAGAGAATTTGATTGCCACGAGTTATTGGATCTCTGATTAGATTTAATTTTAAGTGATACATGTAAACTGTACGATATTGTAAATAGTGATGGTACGAGTGCTGTGTGAAGAGTATAGGCTACAATTTTGAGTACTTTTCCTCGAAAATTAAATTTGACCGCACAGAAATATCTTCAGATTCGTGTTCAGTGCCCTCTAAAATTGTTTTGATTTATTTTTACCACAGTTATCATTTTAAATCTGCCACCTCTAGAAATAATTTTACGGTACTTAGTGGCCTTATTTCAGAAGATTAAAAGTCAAGAAAGGGGGGACAATTTTAAGCACTTTTTTCCTCGAAAACTAAATTCGACCGCACAAAAATAATTTCAAATTAGTGTTCACCACCATCAGGAATAGGGAATTTTACCAAATTTTTTACAATTTTGAAAATTTTCCGTTGTACCAATTATAATTTATTTTTCATGGGATTATTTCGCCTTTCGGTACCGAGAGGCAAGAGCTGGTATTTTATTATGAAGAAGGAACCGGTTTCCGTTCTTGCATTTGTTGTTCTCTTTAAGATGTATGTATAGATTTATTTTTATATTTAATGTATTCTATACGCTGTTCGGGTTTCGTTTTGGACGAACGGATCCGCAGCGCACGTTGTGAGAAAAAAATGGTGCTTGTACGTCTTTTTTTATGTCAAATAATAAACTTCTACAATCTCGTACGCAACGACAAAGAAAAAGTAAGCGTCTTAAAGGAAATTATTTTTATTATTAGGTCTTGATAAATATCGACACCGACAATCGTTTCTGCATCATTAAAAACTTACAAATATATTGTCGTCTGGCAGGAAATTAAAAAAAAAGAGAGAGTTAAAAAAATAACAAAAGCCAATTGATATGAAAATATCGAAAATATGAAAAATTATGTTTTTTTTATAAAAAAATCTTACTGACCTTGGGTTTGACCTTCACCACATGTCTCAAGGTCAAATTGGGGTGAACGTAATATCAAATGGAAGAAGCTATTTTTTATGCCAGCAACGGATAGAGCGACAAATTTTATATACGAATCTGGGGTCAAAGAATTTTTGTAGGATGACCTTGCGGATGATTTCAAGGTCATACGCAGAATGTTTCTTGAAACGTTTTCCTCTGTAATTCGAAAAAATGTGCCTGATGGTCTGTCGATTGACGATGTACAAAAATAAGTGTGTTCTGTTTAATATTTTTGAGTTGGTTATGGTTTGACCTTGAATCTTACGGTGAAGGTCAAATGAACACAAGAACAGCAGCGTATTGGTTTCTTTTTATCCGAATTTTTTTTTTAATATGATATTTTTAGGACAATTTGAAAAAATTCTATGAAAATTGAGAAATTCTCTGAAAATTCTAGGTTCACCAGGTTAATATGTGCTCCGATGTTGATTATTATAATTATTATTCAAATGAGGGACTTCCGCTACATAATTTTGTAATGTTTCTTAATTCTTCGCCGGAACCCTAAAAAGGACTGCGCTAATTGACATTTTTTTACGTTCTCAATGATGCAAAGACGATTATTGGTAGCGGCACTTATCTAAATGCAATAATAACCATTTTCTCGATATGATACTCGCTTTTTGCTTGTCGCTGTACATATATAAATGTTTGTAGATAAAATCCTTAATTAATTAGTAACAGATTATGAAATCTAACAAAAATTATTTCATATTTCATTTTTATAACTGTCTTGGCAAGTACGTGTCGCAGAATTTGACACGATTTTATTCTGTCCTGGTCTGCATTATCATTAACCCGACTTGCCAAAAGTATCGCCACTTTTTGATATTAATCGATATTAAAATATGAACAAAGCTAAAATATTTGGTAAAAACACCAAATAACCTTTAATATTTCTCTGGTACTATTAAAACTTAGTCAAATCGTATTTTCTATACACATTTATCCATTGTTATCGCTTTGTTCCCATTTTTTACACGAAATGCATTTTACAGAAAAAATAAATAAATTATGAATAATGTGTTGAACAGAAATATATACAGGGTAGAAAAGTATCAAGTTACAAATCGGCCATGATAATAGACTAACACTTTTTAGTATTACATTACGACACCCAGTATTGTTTCATTTTCAGTATTTTTACATTATATATTCTAGCGTCTCCTTGTATGAACCTTTTTAGATTCTTTTTATGAAATATTAACTCAGTTTTAGAGATTGAACTATATTTTACATAAAGGTTTATTAATGACGACAAACTGTAAAGGTATTTTTGATGTATATTAATTAATTTATAATAAACAACTCTTGAACAATGAGTGTTTTTTTGCATCCACTATCCAGTAAGCAACCTAATATATTACTAAACACCTTATGAACAATAAAAAACAAAATTTTGTACTTACTTTCAACAATTCACTAATTTTCGGACTCTACACATTCAAAAGAAAAACTGGTAAAACTATAACACTATTTATTAAAACTATTTAAAGCACCCAAAAACTGTTAATCCCAAGGTTCTTTCACGCGGAGGTGCGCCAATGTGCCTTCGATAGTGATATGGTCGTAGAAGGGTCTCCTCTTTGTTTTGGTTTTGATGAAGTTTTCTTCGTTCTTTCCCAAAGCCTTCGCATGTCCATAAGATTGTTCCTAAACAAAAATACATAGGATGTAACTCTGTATAATTATTACTGCATCTAAAATAACTTACGGGTGTGAGATAGGCGTGTCTAAGGTAGAACATGTTCTCTTCTTCGATTTCGAACCGATTTCTGAGCTTCACCACGTCTTCCACTTGGGGTTCTCTGTACAAACGGTTCTTTCCTCTGTATATATGCCCGTTTGGCATGTGTTTTCTGCGAAATAATGCTTGAAAAATACGCATTTTGAATTTTGACGTAAACTGAAGCTCAGGCCAAAGTGTTAGGTTAGGGATGATTGAAATCATCCTCTTCTTCCTCTTTATTGGTAACAATTGTAAAGAGCCGTGAGGCTACGATCAAACTCAAAAGAAGATGAAGAAATTTGGTCATGGTTTGAACTACAGTCTATATAGTAGGTCGAATCCAATCCAGTAATGTACAATTCTTAATTTGTAATTTAATTAAAATAAACAGAATGAATTTGAATGAAATGAAAATAAATTTCCAAAAAAGAAAATAAAAGTAATTACTGTCAAATTTACTTACTCTAGACAAAAAATGTATTTATGATCCGTTTTTTATTTTCTGTATTTAACATAACAAGCTTTTTATTAAAATAAGTATAAATAAATATTCAAAAATAGTACAAATTTATGCACAAACACCTACAAACCAGAAAAAAATCAATGTTTTCATATTCTTCCTACACTGTTCGTATTTTGACTTTTATCAACATTTTGATAAAAATTGGGTAAATATCCCAAAAAGATTGGTTTAATTTTTCTTATATACCTTCCGCATACTTATACTCGCAATATAAGCAATTTTCCCAATAATTGTCACGAGTTGTAGAGCTAATTTTGAACAAATGTCTTCAAAATAATTAATTTTGTTTATAAATAACAGCTATTGGCAAATGACCACTGAACTAGCAAGCAATTTGTGCTAAAAATCACAGGCAACTTAAAACATCATCACCAAAACCTTAGCAAATCGTAACGTATTAGTTATTCAATACTGTTCGTATTATTTTCTTGCGAGCCTTTATAAACAATCTCCAAAGCCATCGTAATGGTCCTAACATCCCCCTCTATAGTCCTAGCCCAGTTCTCCACATCACCCAACTCCTTCAATGCCCCACTGAAAGACTCGACCAGGTTCAACCATTGCTGCGTCTGCTTGGAGAAATTCGTAGCGTTCACATGCAACTGTTTGGCTTCGACGTCCAACTTTTTCTGGTTCAGGTAAGCCTGAGCCACACCTACGTTTAAATGATCGACTAGAGCCTGAGTTAGGTCGCTAGCACTGGTACAAGCTTCCCTGCGTTTCGACTCTTGACTTTCCTTCTTTGCGATTTGCTTAGATTGGTGTTCTCTTAACATAGAGGACAGCATTTTTTAAAACAAGCCTGTTGTATTGTTCAATCCCATTCACACAAATATACAAATGTCATCGTTAATTCTCTTCCGAAGTACCTAAGGCTGTTGTGAGATTGTGAGAATAATAGGTTATGTTATATGTCAACTAAAATTATAAACTAGTCGTTTGAACAAGATACTTTCCAATGACAATCAGATATTAGCCAATCGCCTTGTCGAATTTTTAAAACTAACCAATTGCAGTGTCTAGTTTTAAATCATAATCAGGAAATCACATAGTAAACTAGTAAACATTGTAAAATAAGTGCCGGATTGCCGGATTAAATATGAAATATAAACCACACATATGAAATTCAGAGTTGACTATTTTACTTACGAATCACGTATCAAAACAGCGCCATCTCTTGGTTGTTTTTTTTTGTGAATTCACATAATAAGTCGTACAGTGCAATGCTTGTAGTTTTATTTGTCTTGTCTACACATTTTAAATAAAGAAAAACTGTGAAAGTGAAACTATATTATATAAACCTACACCGTTCAATGAAGTATTATAGTTATTTTTTGCCATAAAGTCGTTGTAGTACCGCAAAGTACGAATAAGACGATCTCAAAATCTGTAAAAGAAGATGATACTTATTAAGGGAATGCACCATATGCTGGCAAACCATTATACGTATTAATTGACGATTTAACGCCCTTATAGAGTTAATACAGCACAATTATCATTCAAATTACCTTCATCAGCGTTGGTATGTTCAATTCAAAGAAATTCCCAGCCCTAAGTATCGCAGGTCTCTTGGCCCTTTCCATTATCATAAGCAGGGATTTCTGAACAATCAAATCGGATTCATTCCAATCGGCTAAGTAGCAAGCGTCCCTAATCTTGTCACTCTGAAACAACTAGATGTCTTATTTATGTTAATACAAAGAACAAGGATATTTACACTCTCCATGACGGTATGTCCGTACCAGCAATACATGGCCACCTGACACATCATGCACGAGAAGTATACGATTAGTAAAAAGAACTGCATGCTGTTGAAGGATATCTGAAAGGTTGATACAGAGATATAAGTCTGATTTGTTGAAATTAAATAATTTCACACGCACCACTATCATCTGAAACCCTGTTAGGCAAATGACTATGACACTGCAGAAAAACTGCACGAAAATCCCTTTTGAGAACGTAATTTCTATTTGATTTACCAAACTGCAACAAAAATTTAGTAGTATTGTTACCTAAAATAGTATTTCTTTTGCACAAAATAAGATTTTATTATAACTACATTGCTTCTTATATCAGATAAAAGTCAAATTTAAAAAAATAGTTGTTTCAAACTTTCAAACACATATCTAAATCTTAGAATAACATCAAACAGATTGGCTTACCAAAGTAACTCATCGTACTGATTCACACAATCCCTTAACTTCGTCTTTACCAGTGCATCTCCCTCGGCGATACTTGCAGATGTAGACAGGGGTTGTAAAATAGTAGCCAATCTATTCCTCAAAACCTCAAATTCAGCCGTCGCTAATACACACATCATGACAGTCAAGATATCGATGTTTGAATTGATCCATGCACCAACGGCTATACTTAGAATCTCCATGAAGAATACTTGGTAGTAATACTTAATTTCATCAAAGGGGAACCAGCAAGGCAAAGGAAATTTGTGACTTTCCCCAGATCGATCGTCCAAAAATGGAAACAGAGCATAGAACAGAACCACCAGAAAGCACAACACCCTGTAGACCTTAGCTAGAAGCCTTCCTTCCTTTATGTGGTTTTCCAGAACGTCGATCTCTTTCTGAGTTACGTTTGTCAGAAGATAACTCTGCAACATCACCTCCAATTTCATCAAACTGGTTTTTTGTGCAACAAAATTTGTCAGTTTGTTCAGAAAAGCGAACTGAGTCATGCAGAATAAAAGAATTTCTGAGAGTTTCTCTAGATTTGAGGAGTTGAAATATGAAAATGTAGCCATGGAGAGGAACTGAGACCATGATATGAACAAGTTGAAAATGCAGCTTAAGACGTAGAGGTATTTATATTTGATGTGGGTACTTGGGTAGAACCCACCGAGGGTTAAATGGTACTTTTCAGTATCAAAGGAAGCTAGCAAATCAAATTTCTGAAAGAAAAAAAGGAGAGATATTAAATTAATTATAAATTATTTTGATAGAAAACACAGGATTTTAATTAAAAATTTTAATTTTTTTTCCATAACCTATTTATTCCATGAACTCTCTTCGCTCTGCGTGGTCAATAGGCAGTTCTTGGGTCAATTGAATTTTGTAAGCATGAAATGTCCAATTCTTAACCACGGTGCCGAATTGATGTTCCTGGATTCTCAGCAACACTCTCTTTTTTGTTAAACGACTTGTTGAAGGTTGTTCTTTTGTTTTAACAATTCTGAACTGTCAACTGCCACGCTGTGTCTCTTTTTTTCGTTGGCAACACTTTACCGCAAGTACAAAATTCAAAACTTGAGTGAATTTTAGGACACCTGATATAATATGTGTTTCAAATTTCAAACTACAGGGTGTTATTAAGTACTTGTACAAATTTTAAAGGGTGAATCTTTTACTAATTTTAAAATATAAAGTTCATATGAGCGCTCTGTATCGCAAGAACCAAGCCGTTGCAGACCCATGTTCATATGAACTTTTTATCTTAAAATTAGTCAAAGATTTACCCTTTGAAGTTTGTACAAGTACTTAATAAACACCCTGTATATCGGAGTTAATTCGAGGTGCGTTTTGAAGGTCGAAACGTCGAGGGGGCCTCGGCAAAAAAGTATTTTATATATTTTTAGCATATAACAAAATATCTAGATCAGTTTTTCTTGAAAACTATGCAACCTATAAGATTTTTTACTAAAACAGTTGAAATAACCGCCTTACCAAACAGTTGCAGCAATATTTATCCACAACCTCTTAGTCTGAAGGGTCTAAAAAAATATATATTTTGCGGGCGCACCTTTGTGGTACTGTAACCCCTTAGGAGGAAATGTTTCCTTATATTTTCGTAGAATACGTCATTAAAAAATTGTATGTAGACTAACTTTGGAAAGTTCTGTACATAAATCCATACAGTGTAAGACATAGCGATACACATTCACATATAACACAATTAGTGATGTTTTAAGAAAAAATAATTTGCCTACTACTTACCTGCATCTTTCCTTTTCTGTTAAATTAAAAATGAAATGAATCACATCTTTCACCGGAACTTATACTCGTCATTAAAAAATCACAGTTAATAATTAACCAATTAAGTTCAGTTAAGACATTATAGCGTAGATGTTAATAATTAATTGAACTATTTAACGCTAATTATTGCCTGTAACATATAAGTTCAGAGATAATTATAGGTACTCAATTTATTTCGTACAAGTTCTGGGGTACAGTTACCTTCATAAAATGATAACATGTAAAAGTTAAATAACTAAGCATTTATGGAAGATAGTAAAATTGTTTCCCCATAAGAAATAAATTAATTCTAAAGAAGGTTATTATGGAGTCATATTTAAAATTCGGAAAATCCGTATTGTAGGTATAAGTAGCAGTAGGTACCATTTTCTAATACAACTCAAGTTTTTGTACTAGTATTACTGCATTTGCAAGCATCCTCTGGTTTTATATTTTATTTGCTTAAGCTTTAATAAAATAAATTTAAAAAAAAAACTATTTTTTCCATTATGCTTTTAATGCAATGCATTGTGTACATTATCTAATTTGTGTGGTTAATGTGCTTTATTTTTTGTATTCACATTATACAGCACCTCGTCTAGATGGTGCTGAAACATTCAAAATGTTAAAGTTCCTAGATGTACCACAATGTTCTTGGTTGCCCTGAAATGGCGGTCTGACATACCTTCATATATCCATTTGTGCTCTAGTGAATTGTTTAAAATATGTGACAATTAATTCAAACTTATATTTCAAATTGGAAACAGGGATTTTACCCGAAAATAACAGTTGAATGTGGTACTTCTAGGGATAAAATTTAGGTGAACAACAAAAAAGGTCTTCTTCTTACATCAACGTGAACAACAGACATTTTTTATTATAAAACAAACAGCTCCTATGGATCTAATGAATCTAATGTACATATCAGTGATTTTATGTGCATTTTCATATTTTTACTCTTCTTCTAAACATCAAGAATGACGGACAATTTGAAGTAAAAAAAAAGTGGTGACAATACTAAACTACTGTACTTCTCATGTTTCGTTGATCTTCAGTTGTTTCCGTATACCCTTTGAAGCAGTGCGAAATAAGAATACGACGACCTGAGAATCTGTAAAAAAGTACGGCATTTGCAACTAATGCGTCGATTCTACGTTTCTTTGTAAATTTATAATTCTATAGGCTACGATTAGACCGCAAGTAATAGTAACATTTTTACAGAATTGTAAATTATGCAATTCTGGAATCCCTGTAACGCTCATAGTTACATAGATGCAAATTAACTACTGCAACTTACATAGGTACTTAAAAATTACTTATATAATTGCAAACATTGTTTTTTTTAAAAAAAAATAGATGTAATACATCGATTAAATATAGAGTAGGGATAGGATTTTTTTATCTACGATGTCTTAAAAATATAAACCATATTGGTAAGTGTTAGTGAACTTATGTCAAAAATTAAATGAGTTAACTGATAACACAAACTTGTATCGGAAGTTATATTTACTTTGTCAAAATATCATTTTGTATCCTTATTTCTGCTGTATAATTTATTATTATTAAAAGGATATATGTAATATTGACCATGCGTAGAAGAAATTATAACTTTATATTATTTTTCAGTAATGTTATTTGTTTTTCATGTACCTACCATTTTAAGATTCATAATCATAACTAACTTTTTCTAATTATCAGTTCGTCATGTTACCATATTCATGAAGGTCTCAACATTAGAGAATTTCCATTTCAGAAGCGTATTTGAACTATATAAAATGTGTAGCTTTTTTTAATGCTTCTGATATTGTTTTGTGATATTTTTATTTGTACGATGAATGGCAAAATTCATAATCCATATTAGAAACTTTTTTCAGTGGCTTCTCAAAAAGAAAGAAATTCTTAGTAAAAGTTGCCGCATCCCCAAACTAGAAGAGCATATTTATTTTTTTTAATATACAATGTAACTTTTTTTAGTTCGAATTAAGTCATTCACAATACAAATAAAAATATCACAAAGGAGTATTAGAGATATTTAAAAAAATACTCACACTATTTATACTATTTCAAAAACGCTTTTGAAATGAAAATGATCTAAAGTTGAGAGCATTATGAGAACAATATGGTAATAAAATTATTATGTTACTCAAACATTTCTGAAAATATACTGAAACGTAAAACAAAAATATCGAGGGCATAAATGGAACATAAAAAGAATGTTACTGAAACCAATTTTTTGAAACGTTTCATTGGAAACGTATTTTGGGGAGGACATCTTGGGCTTCTAGAACGTTACCAGAACGTTGCATGGATTTTTTATGAAACGTTTCAAGAAAAATTTAAACGTTTCTGAAACATGTCAGAAACTGAAAAATGTTTAGTGGGTTAAGGTCATAGAGAAAAATGCCAATTAAAAATTTATACGACATTGTAGGTTTCTTATGAAGCCGGACTGTATTCAAAAGTCAGTTTGTAATACATTGTTGTAGTGATTGCTGTGCTGTTTTTCGAGAGTACAATTAATAGCCGTATTTTCAAGTTTTCTTTTGAAAATGGCGCATTTATTTAGCAAACGCGAATATTATGATATGCTCATAATTTATGGCTGAGCGAGGTTCGATCTAGTGACATTAATAATTTATATCACATAAACACCTATAAAATCAATGTTTATACATATTACTAATTACTACCGTCATCAAAGTGGGTATATTTAGCGTGAAGAAGTTCCCCGCTCTTATGGTGGCCGGTTTTTTGGCCCTCTCCATCACAATCATCAAGGATTTCCTGACTTCTACGCTACATTTGTCCCACCTGCTCATGTAGCAGGCGCTGGTCACCTCATCGCTCTGCAACAATTGAACGTTAGTTCTTCGATTTACCCGACCACTAGATTTTAATTACGCTGTCCATCACATTGTGACCGTACCAGCAGTACATGGCCACCTGCCACATCATGACCAAGAGGTAGACCACCAGCAATACGAATCGCATACTGCTGAATGATATCTGTAACAGAAGTATTGGTAATAGTGTCACAACAGATAATTTACTTATATACAATCTAACTCCATTTTATCCTAATCTAATCAACTATTAACTTATTAACATTAATTAATCAACTAGGGGGGCTATAGATGATGAAGATGAACAACGTAGTAATACGTCAATTTATGATGAAAATTATATTTAGTAGAATATTTTCAAATTAAAGTTAATAGTTGATTAGATTAGGATAAAATGGAGTTAGATTATATTTGAGTTAAATTAAATTGAAGTTAAGAGTAGGTTGGAAATGGCAAGTGATTTGGAAATAAATGATTTTGATTTGTTTCTGAAATAACACTTGCATACATTTTTACACGAATTTTACAGGAAATCTCCTGAAGATGACGTCCATGTCCAGCTTCCAGTGCACCAGGTGTCCGGGGTGTGCTCGCCGACGCCAAATTAGGAATCAGCGACCCGAAAAACCACCGGGTGTCAAGTCTCGTTGCATTTAAGAGTGAAATTCAGGAGAAGCCTCGGAGATGACGTTCATCATCAATCCTAAGCTGCAGGTCGTCGATGGACCAATTTGAACGTCATATTCGGGATCAGCGACCTCGAAAACCTCTGGACCCCGATTTGAGTCCATTCCAAGCATTATTAACCGAGTTATGAATTTTTTCTAGGTGACTTTAAAAAAATGCATTTTTCCGGATGCATTTTGCAATTTGATCGCAAAACATAATACAAAGTTGATACATTTTTTTCTCATAATTTTAGAAACCGAATGCAAAAAACCCATGTTGATACGACTTGATCGAAAAATTTCGGAGGTCCAGTGCTTTATTTCTTCGACTATGAATGAGCAAAGCAAATAGACTTTATTACCAGAAAAAACGAAGAATATATATATCAGCAAAAATACGAAATAGGCAGTTTTAGGTTAATTCACCTATATCCAAAATCGTTTCGTTTGGCCGCTAGATGGCCTCGAACTTCGTGAAGACGTTTTGAATTTTTAAATAACTCGTCTTAACGTCTTAATCGATTTTGATTAATTTTGGGGTGTGGACTTTTGCTTTCAATCTACAAATTTTGATGTTATACAGAGTGTTTTTTAAAACTCGCAACTCCTACAAAATTGGTGTATGATGATAATATCCGTTCATAACTTTTTTCTCTTTCGGGAAATAATGACTATTTTTTATTTGACAGGTGATACCATTTGGAAGTTTTTAGGTCACTTATAGAATTTTGATTAAATGAGCGGTTTGCGTATAAAAAAATATTTTTTAAATGTCTACATTATCTTGCCACCCATATTACAATACCATCGCTGTTTTACATTGACAATTTATTCATCAATAAATTGACGAAGTTCTTCATCAATTATTAATTCACGAATTTATTGGTAAACAGTGTGGTTTTACACTGCTACAGACTTTGTCAAGTTTTTTGACGCATAAATCAGTTCTACCAACAAATCAAAGAAGCAAATAAATTTCAGAAATGTCACCTTTCCACTCATAATTGTAGTGATACAACAGCGGTACCGTTCTGACACATATTATANTTCCCCGCTCTTATGGTGGCCGGTTTTTTGGCCCTCTCCATCACAATCATCAAGGATTTCCTGATTTCTACGCTACATTTGTCCCACCTGCTCATGTAGCAGGCGCTGGTCACCTCGTCGCTCTGCAACAATTGAACGTTAATCCTTGGATTTACCCGACCACTAGATTTTAATTACGCTATCCATCACATTGTGACCATACCAGCAGTACATGGCCACCTGACACATCATCACCAAAAGGTAGACCACCAGCAGTGCGAATCGCATACTGCTGAACGATATCTGTAACGGAAGTATTGGTACTGGTGTCACAACTAGGGTTTCTGGTCGAGACTTCTCGAAGTGAGAATTCCCGGGAAATCTGGCCTTACTCGAGACGAGAAGAAAGTGTCGAGAAATCGAGAAATTTAAAAATCACGCGCGTCTTAAGTTCTTGATTAGAGTTCGTTTCGTTCATGCGTTCAATTCGTTTCTCGACAAATAACTGAGCGGTTAAAGTGGTTTCTCGTTTCTCCACTAACTCATGATTTATTTATTTTAAGTTTTCAAGGCTTTAGTTTACTTTGATGATTCTTATTTTTTTAATGTACCTTGTTATAAGTCTGTATAGAAATTTTATTATAAGCAGATACCTAATGTTGATGTTGATTCTGAAAATATTTAGTTCCTGTTTCTTTATTTAGTTGATTATTTTATTTTTGTTTTGTTAATGTGATTGTGATTATAAGTGATAAATTAATAGGGAGAACGGTTCTGTATCTTTAAATTAAAGCTTGTTTTTTTTTTAAGATTTCTTCGGTTAAATTCCTTATCTACTGTTTGTTTAACTAAAAGACTGCATGATTAATGATTATTAATAATTATTGGAAGAAAGCTACGATTCAAAAACATTGAAATAAACATAAGTTTTCAAGAGGAAGATACTCAAAGTTTAATTTAGTTTTGTTAATAGAAGTAGAAACATAAGTAATTAATAAAAATACTGAATAATTGTTAAGTATAATAGTATGTTTATATTTCGCATTGCAATACCAAAATTATGACTTTTTTAAGTATTAGAAAATTCTCGAGAATTCGAGAATTCCCAGGAATTCCTAGTCGAGAATTCTCGAGTCCCGAGGAGAAAAGTAGGCCGAAAAATCAGAAACCCTAGTCACAACAGATAATTTACTTATTTATTTACTATTGCTGTTATTATACAATGTGTACCTACCGTTGATTACACTGAGAGAAATCAACCAATATGAAAAGTAATAAAAGTACCATTATAATAACTGATTTTGATTATTTTTGGGGTGTGGATTTTTGCTTTCAATCTACAAATTTTGATGTTATACAGAGTGTTCTTTGAAACTCGCAACTCCTACAAAATTAGTGTATGGTGATAATATCCGTTTATAACTTTTTCTTCTTTCGGGAAATAAAGACTATTTTTTATTTGATAGGTGATACCATTTGGCAGTTTTTGGGTCTCTTATAGAATTTTGATTAAATGAGCGGTTTGGCTACAAAAAAATATTTTTTAAATGTCTACATTATCTTGCCATCCATATAGGTACCTAATAATGTGCTAGAAGTCAATAATTTGTAGGCTGACTGTAATTTCAGATTGATCTTTAAGTCATTGTATCTGCCAATTCTTAATGAGTGTTTACTATGATAAAATATACCACATGTTACTTCATTTTGCGACGAATTAGAGTTATTTACAACATGTCTAATTTTAATGAAATAATTCGTAAAAACAATCAAATAAAATAAAAAATGCTGATGATAATTGACAAAGTTGAGGTTATTAAATTTAGTACAACTTATAAAAACTCTTAAGGGCTATTTTTTAAAACATTTATGGCATTTTGGATATGCCTCTACAACTCAGTTTAGTGTTAGATGTGGAACCATGCACTGTTGTTTTCAGAGTGTCCCAAAGATAATAGTAGCAAGGGGTTAAGTCTGATGAACGTATAGGCCAATTAACAGAAACATTATCTCCTCTACCGATCCATCGTTGAGAGAACCTTTGGTTCAGATACTGCCGGACCTCTACAGTGAAATGTGGTGGAGGTCCATCATGCATAAACCACATGTTAGCTCTGAATAATAACGGCACATCGATTTTTACAAAAATTCTAAATAAATTTCGCCATATTGGGTAGAATAACAGGGCCAATATAATCGCAAACCAAACACTGATGTGAAATTCATGCTGATAATGTTTCACTTTGACAACACGATGATTTTCTTGAGCATTGTGAATATTTATTATTCCGCTTCTGGTAAAACAGAATTGGTAGGTACAATGACTTAAAGATCTACCAGAAATTACAGTCAATCTACAAAATCAGAACCTACTAGCCCTTTGTTAAGTATTATAATATGGGTGGCAGGATAATGTATACATTTAAAAAATATTTTTTTGTACCCAAACCGCTCATTTAATCAAAATTCTACAAGAGGCCCAAAAACTTCCAAATGGTATCATTTATCAAATAAAAAATAGTTGTCATTATTGCCCGAAAGAGAAAAAAGTTATGAACGGATATTATCACCATACACCAATTTTCTAGGAGTTGTAAGTTTTAAGAAACATTCTGTATAACGCCTAAATGTGTAGATTGAAAGCACAAGTCCACACCACAAAAATAATCAAAATCGAATAATACGTATTCGAGTTATTTACAAAATTCAAAAAAATTTCACGATCTTTGAGGCCATCTATCGGCCAATTGAATACGATTTCGGATATAGGTGAATTATTAGCCTAAATCTGCCTATTTTGTGTTCACGATTCTGTGGTCTTCCGTTGTACCCGTTATTCTGGGACACCCTGTATATATTGCTTGTACCTATTATAAAAATCATCATTTTAGGATGACAACCAACATTTGCTAGGATCAAAATTGTACTGTTTTTGGCGCCTTTTTAATGCAGATCTTTGGTTAAGGTTAATAAATTAGTATTTATGGCTAAAAGATATTCCTCTCGATCTGGATCTATCTATGAGATGCGGTCCTGAAGAAATATATAAGGGTACTCCACACGAAAAGTCTTTTTACTATTACCGTCACAAAAAAGCACCATATTATTACTAGTAAATAGTTGTACATACCACTAGCATCTGAAACCCTGTCAAGCAGATCGCCATAACGCTGCAGAAGAACTGCACGAAAATGCCCTTCGAAAACGTGAGTTCAATGTGTCTCACCAAACTGCAAACAAAAATATTTTTCGGAAAATAAAATTAAAACAAAATTTGTATCTACTCACTTGAGTGCTTCGTCGTAGTGAATAATACATTCTCCCAGTCTACTCCTTACTTCGTCATCATCGTCGTAGTCCCCACCTACTCCCGAAGACATCGAAATATTGGTCAGTTTCCTGTTCAAAATTTTGAACTCTGCAGTGGCCAATATCATCGTCATGATAGTCAATAGGTCGATGCTAGAATTAAGAACAGCTGAGATAGCAATGCTCCAAATTTCAAAGAAGAACACCGGGTAGTAGTAGTCGCCTTCGTTGAAAGGAAACCAGCAGGGCAAAGGGAATTTAGGCTCTTTGTCGGATCTCTCGTCCAAAAACGGAAACAAAGCGTAGAGTACAACGCCCAGGAAACACATCACTCTGTACATTTTAGCTAGTAATTTCCCGCCTTGCAGATGGCTTGTCAGAATGTGTTTTTCTTCACTTCTAACGCTGGTAAAAACTGGTTTTTGCAGTAGCGCCTCCAGCTCCTTCAAACTGCTTTTGTGCCAGATCAGATTCGTCAGTTTGTTGAGAAACGCGAACTGTGTCACGCAGAATACAAGGATATCGGTCAGTTTCCTCAGATCGTCTAAATTGAAGTAAGAAAAAGTTACGAGAGACAGGAATTGCAACCAGGATATGGACAGGTTGACGAGGGCACTCAGTATGAAGAGATGTCTGCGAAGACCTGGCTCGGCAGGGTAGAAGCCTGCGAGGGTCAGGTATAGTTTCTCGGCTGCGAAGAAGTCCAGCGTGTTGAAGGTCTAAAAGGAATTTACAGTCTGTAGGTTTCTTCAACGGAAGAAGAATAGACTCTTATTTAGAACTGGTGAAGATTGCAACAGGGTATTATTTATTTTTTAGGTTTTCCAAAAATTTGTCTCAAATATAAGGTGGCTGCCCAGGTATCCGAGTGACTTTAGGTCTGTTCCAACAAGAGTCAGGGATTGGTTCCGAACCGTCAGAAATGTGCATCCAACTAATTCTTGCGATATATTCACTGAAGACACATTTAGAACTTAGCTGGCCAAACATTTCAAACGGTTCGGAACCAATCCCTGACTCTTGTTGGAACAGACCTTTTGTATATGAATTATATGACTAATTTTAAGCAAAAATGATTCTACTCACTTTGAAGTCGTATGGGTAGTTGTTGAAGAGTAAATTACTTTGTTGGTAAAAATATGGTTTCTTTGAATAAAAGCTTCAGGACCGCCGTCTTGTGCAATGCATAACTCAATCCTTATAAGGTATATAAACAATATACCCAAGATTGTTGATAAATTTCATGAAAATAGCAGTTCTCGAGATAGAACGAAAAACTAATAGCTCCTAATTTACCGTACAACGTTGAATTAGTATATTTAAATGCTCAAACCGGCAATAAATGATTATAAATTGGTACGATGTGACTTTAAATGTCTACATTATCTTGCCATCCATATAGGTACCTAATAAAGTGCTAGAAGTCACTGAATTTGTAGGCTGACTGTAATTTCAGTTTGATCTTTAAGTCATTTGTATCTTGCAATTCTTAATGAGTGTTTACTACGATAAAATATACCAAATGTTCCTTCATTTTTCGATATGGATACACACATACGACGAATTAGAGTTATGCCTAATTAACATGCCTAATTTTATTGAAATAATTCGTAAAAACAATAAAATAAAATATAAAATGCAGGTGATAAAAGTAACAAAGTTGAGGTTATTAAATTTAGTACAACTTATAAAAACTGTTCAAAATGACCACCGTTGTTTCTACAACAAAGGTTAATTAGGCGAAGAAAGTTAAAGGATACCCTTTGCAGTTCTTAGGGGCCATTTTTTAAAACATTTACGGCATTTCGAAAGTGAATAAGCGTCTCTTGAAAAAAATGTATACTTGATTTTTTTCTTATTTTTTATGAGGAATATCTCCTTAAAGTTTGTCGACTTAATCCTGAAACACCCTGTATAACGGTACTCCGCACGAAAAGTCCCTTTACTATTACCGTCACAAAAAACCACCATATTATTACTATTAAATGGTTGTACATACCACTAGCATCTGAAACCCTGTTAAGCAGATCGCCATAACACTGCAGAAGAACTGCACGAAAATGCCCTTCGAAAACGTGAGTTCAATGTGTTTCACCAAACTGCAAACAAAAATATTTTTCGGAAATTAAAATTTAAACAAAATTTGTATCTACTCACTTGAGTGCTTCATCGTAGTGAATGATACATTCCTCCAGCCTACTCCTTACTTCGTCATCATCGTCGTAGTCCCCACCTACTCCCGAAGACGTCGAAATATTGGTCAGTTTCCTGTTCAAAACTTCAAACTCGGCAGTGGCCAATACCATCGTCATGATAGTCAATAGGTCGATGCTAGAATTAAGAACAGCCGAGATAGCAATGCTCCAAATTTCAAAGAAGAACACCGGGTAGTAGTAGTCGCCTTCGTTGAAAGGAAACCAGCAGGGCAAAGGGAATTTAGGCTCTTTGTCGGATCTCTCGTCCAAAAACGGAAACAAAGCGTAGAGTACAACGCCCAGGAAACACATCACTCTGTACATTTTAGCTAGTAATTTCCCGCCTTGCAGATGGCTTGTCAGAATGTGTTTTTCTTCACTTCTAACGCTGGTAAAAACTGGTTTTTGCAGTAACGCCTCCAGCTCCTTCAAACTGCTTTTGTGCCAGATCAGATTCGTCAGTTTGTTGAGAAACGCGAACTGTGTCACGCAGAATACAAGGATATCGGTCAGTTTCCTCAGATCGTCTAAATTGAAGTAAGAAAAAGTTACGAGAGACAGGAATTGCAACCAGGATATGGACAGGTTGACGAGGGCACTCAGTATGAAGAGATGTCTGCGAAGACCTGGCTCGGCAGGGTAGAAGCCTGCGAGGGTCAGGTATAGTTTCTCGGCTGCGAAGAAGTCCAGCATGTTGAAGGTCTAAAAGGAATTTACAATCTGTAGGTTTCTTCAACGGAAGAAGAATAGACTCTTATTTAGAACTGGTGAAGATTGCAACAGGGTATTATTTATTTTTTAGGTTTTCCAAAAATTTGTCTCAAATATAAGGTGGCTACCAAAGTATCCGAGAGACTTTGTATATGACTAATTTTAAGCAAAAATGGTTCTACTCACTTTGAAGTCGTATGGGTAGTTGTTGAAGAGTAAATTACTTTGTTGGTAAAAATATGGTTTCTTTGAATAAAAGCTTCAGGACCGCCGTCTTGTGCAATGCATAACTCAATCCTTATAAGGTATATAAACAATATACCCAAGATTGTTGATAAATTTCATGAAAATAGCAGTTCTCGAGATAGAACGAAAAACTAATAGCTCCTAATTTACCGTACAACGTTGAATTAGTATATTTAAATGCTCAAACCGGCAATAAATGATTATAAATTGGTACGATGTGACTCTCATAACAGGCGTACTGGAGGTGTGTTAATTTTTGTAAAAAATGGTGTTAGATTTTCTGTTTTAAAAAAATATGTATGTGTTCCAAATTGTTGGTTCATGTTGATCAAAGTATTGTTTAAAATGAAGTTTGGGCCATAGGTGTTGTAACGAGCGTTCAAATAAAAACGTGGTCCAAGTTGGTTCTGACACATTGGACGTAGGGAGTAGCTTATAGCGACCAACTTAACCTCATTTCTCAACGAGCTGTATAGCAGCTGTCAGATTCAATAACGTTATTGACTATATAACTTTATTTTAAAGAATAATCGTGATAACAATAACAAACAATTAAAGGAGCTGCGGAAAGTGTCCCCCTCCTTGTTATAACAATAAATTAAAGCAGCTGCTGAAAGTGTCCCCCTCCTTGTTCCAAGCACTTTTCACACCTGTTCCTCAAAGAATTAAAGACATTTTCTAAGATGCTCGGGGTATTGTTAATTTCACGAATCTTGTCTATAAGTCGAGCCTGCAGATGGTTTAAATCAGGAATAGGCAGTTCAAAAATAGTGTTTTTAAGGTAAGGCCACAAAAAGAAATCACACGGCGTAATATCACATGACCTCGGTGGAAATTCATGTTCAGCATTGAGACTTATTAGTCGATTTTGGAAAACTTCCCTCAACATATTCATCGTCTCGCCTGCCGTATGTGCCCTTGCGCCATCTTGTTGAAAGTAAAAGTTTGTAATTTCGTTTTCTTCCAGCTGGTTAACAAAAGGAGCGATAATTTCTTCTCTATACCTTTGCGCAGTAAGAGTACCATTAAAAAAAATAGGTCCATAAATCCTCCTTCGATTGAGAGCACACCAAACTCCAATTTTTTGAGCGTGTAGAGGGCCCTCGACAAAAAAGTTATCTGGTTTTTCAGAAGACCACATTCTCATATTCTGTGAGTTTACGTAACCACTTAAATGAAACCAGGCTTCATCAGAAAAAAAGGTGATATTATGAAGTTCACCGTAGTTGTTTAAAAACCATTCACAAAATACAGCCCGTCGCGGAAAATCAACTTCATGAAGTTCTTGCTGACAAGTTAAACGATAGGAGAACAAACGCAAATCTTTTTTTAACACTGTGTGGCAGGTACCGACTGATACTCCCACCATTTGTGATAAAACACGTACAGAAGTTCTTGGCGCATTTTCCATTATTTGTTGGACATTTTCTTTTAATTCTTCAGTCCGCTTTTTAGGTCGGCCGCTTCCTTCTTTTCTTGTTACACTGCCCGTTTCACGAAAAACATTAACACAACGCTGAACTGCACTTTGAAAAATTTTGTACTCAACAACGCCGGGAAATTGATTTTGAAATTCTATGAAACATTCCTCAATAGAATACTTCCATATTCCATCAATCTTGCGTCCATTTCTAAAGTAGGACTCTATGATAAACACTTTTTGTTCTTGAGAAAACACCATTTTAAACGCTTTTTAAAACGAAAATATTCAAATTGATAGCGGCGATATAGCGCTTTGACAGATGACGTTTAAGTTCATTTGCTATACGCTACGCCCTACGTCCAAATTTTCAGAACCAACTTGACCACGTTTTTATTTGAACGCTCGTTATATCAATCGCCTGCATCCGGTGATCAAGAATTTATTGATGGAATTAAAAAGTGGTGTGAAAAAATATTAAATTTAAAAAATATTAACTTTCTTTTGGTTGGTGGCTTTAATCTGAATTTTCAATCTAACTGTGTGTATACAAATAATATTATTTATTATTTGTATATATTATTATCTTTCAAATAATGGGACTTGAACAAATTGTTCAGGAATGTACAAGAATAATTGATTCTACCAGTTCTCTAATAGATTATGTTATAACTAATACAAATAAAGTGAAGGCAATTGTACATAATACTCGGATCATTATATAATTTCTGTAAATATGTGTATACCAGATAAAAAAGATGATATGTTAATAACATTTATAAATTAAAGCTCTAGTAATATTAAATAAATTAATGAAAGATTAGAAAATATAGAATGGCCATATCGTGCTAATAATCCAAATGAAATGTATGTTTATTTTGGAAAATGTGTCGTCTATTGTAAATGATATTTGTCCTATTACAAAAAGAATACAAAAAGCTTATCATTTTGCCCTGGTACGATAGCGAAATAAAAAGTCTAGCAAAACAAAGGGACATTGCATACAAAACCTTAATAAGTAAACATTTTGGAATAAATATAAAATGCGCAGAAATCAAGTAGTTACTTTATTAAGTAAAAAGAAAACATCTTACTATGAAAATCAAATTGATAAAAACAATAAAAATTCGAAACAGATGTGGAAAACTCTTAAATCTTTAATAAAAAATGAAAGTACGGTGTTTTCAAATAGTGTAATATTATTTCATCAGAATAACATGATAACTACAGTTAGTGGAGGAAAAGAAATTGCTGAAAATATTAATAAGTACTTTGTTTCTAGTATTAATGAAATCATTATGTCAATACCACAGGTGAATGATAGCTCATGAAAATATTCTTCCGCCTAATTTCAGTAATTTTAAATTTTTAAATTTAAATCAATTAGAAAAAATTGTAAATAAACTAAATAACATGAGTGTAAGTGAGATTATGAGTGCAGGATTTATAAAAAATACTTTAAATTCTATTGGTCCAATTTTATTAAATTTAATAAATGTATCGTTACAAACTGGTGTTATTCCGGACAAATTAAAAATAAGTCACATTACACCAATAGAAAAAATTAAAAATACTAATGACTGCATGAATTTTAGACCTATAAACACATTACAATTGAAAAAATTCTAGAAATTCAGTATGTGAGCAACTAACAGATTATTTTAATTCTAATAATTTATTTATTCCATGTCAGTCTGGATTTAGAAGTCACTCTTGTGAGACAGCTTTACAAATTACAATATCAAATTGGATTGAAAATATTGATAAGAGTAACTACATTGTTGCTATATTTCTAGATTCTAAAAGGGCATTTGAAACTATTGACAGAAATATCTTACTAAAAAAAACTTAAATCTTGTGGCCTAGGTGGCATCGTTCTTAATTGGTTTGAAAATTATCTGACAAATCGTCAACAAATAACTAAAATTAATAACATATTGTCAACACCCATTGTTAATACTTTTGGAGTTCCTCAAGGCAGTGTCCTAGGACCGATTTTATCTATAATTTATTTAAATGATATTATAAACTATACTACCAGTGACTTTATTAATTTGTTTGCGGATGATACTTTGATTGCCACTGTGAATAGTAATTTAAATGGGGCTATTGATAGAACGAATCAGGATCTACAAAACATTGAACCTTATTTAAATAGTAATAAACTAAGTTTAAATACCAATAAGACTAAAGCGATGATAATTACAACTAAATATAAATATTCTAAAATTAATATAAATAACTTAAAAATATCATTTGCCAACACCGATATCGAAATTGTAAAAAATATTAAATATTTGGGATTCTATGTAAATACATTAAGTTCATATTCATTAAGATCATATATTATATGTACACATAAAAAATATAATAGCAAAAAATTTTTTATTTCTTTTCAAGAGTTTCACAACTTTTATCGATTATGACAAATACATATTACTCTTTATAAAACAATTATCTAACCACTACTGTTCAAGTATATTATATTTATTTGACAGTAAAGTGCAAAAACAGCTTCGCATTTTGCAAAATAGAGGAATGAGAATTATATTACGATGCAATAGAAGTACTCCCATATATTTAATGCTTAACGTGTTGGAATGGATGTCTGTAGAATTACGTTTGAAATATTTAGCATTAGTTTTTATTTACAAAATAATCAATCGTCAATTACCTTCTTATTTCGAGCCGTTTATAAAACATGTTAGAGAAATACACAATTATGATACAAGAAATGTAAATTGCTTATATTTGAATCATGCAAAAAGAGCATTCGCGCAAAAAACTATTTTCTATAAAGTTTTCAAAGAATTTACCTCCTTGCCAAGTAATATTAAAAATTCTGTCTCTTTAAATGTATTTAAACATAAACTTCGTGATTTTCTAAAATAAGTAAGATTAATATATAGCAAATTGTACCCATGTTAAATTTTATGTTGTCATATAGAAATTGTTTATTGTATTTTAATAGTATTATAGATATATATATAGATATATATACGTGAAACTGTGTCTATTAGGTATTTCCTATTTAAATAAAGTTTCTTTCTTTCCTCTGTCGAAATTGTCGTTCCCAATTGTAGTTCCCCATATTTATTTTTCACTTCATCAAACGCTGCATTAATCTTCTCAATTAGGCTTTCCCATTGAAGAGGTAAGTGTCTTCATGAAAAAGTCCAACGGGTTGAGATCCGGAGATCGCGGTAACCAAGCCATGGGACCACCCCGACCTATCATCGATTTGGATACTTTTCATTGAGGAAAATAGTGACACCTCTTCTATAATGAGTCGGAGCACCATCATGTAAAAAGAACGTCATCCTTCTGATTTGAAGAGGAATGTCCTGAAGTAGTAGAGGTAGATCGTTTTCCAAAAAAGGCCGGTACATCTCGCTGTTCAAATTTCCATCGAAAAAATGTGGTCCGATACGTTCATTATATTAATTATTCCAGCCCAAACGTTTACGGAGAATATTCTCTGAAAATGGGTTTCTCGAATAGCATGAGGGTTTTTGATTGCCCACACATGATCGTTGCGGAAATTGTTGATTCCATCTCTTGTAAATGTAACTTCGTCACAGAAGAGGGTTCTTGAAAGGCTATCCAGATGATTGCTCCACCATTCACAAAGATTAACTCTTTGGAGAAGATCCGTGGGGAGAAGTTGGTAATGATAGGGATGCAGTCGGTATACTCGCAAAGTGTCTTGCAACAGCGGTCCTACTTTATCAAGTAAGTACAAAAATTTTTCTCGTACTAGTACCAGGATCATTTTCGACAAGCTCAAGCACTTCTGCAGCATTGTTTCTTCGTATAACTTCTTTTTACTAGTCGGTTAAGGGAACGCACCTGTTAATCGAAAAGTTGTAGCGGTTCTATTGAACGTCTGCTTGTCTGGAAGACGGCGGTTTGGATATCATCGTTGGTACTACTCATAGAAAATATAGCACTAACGTAAAATGAAATGTAACATATGAATAATGAAACTGTCATGGCGGCGTCACATGTTAGTTACCTTCCAAAATAAAAGATGGCGCAGAGAATGCTAACACTGTCATTTTGGGTTGGTTGGTAATGCAGTTTGGACTTTGCAATTGCACGTATTTGAAGTTTGGCTTTCGTTATCTTTGGTTTCTTTGGTTATCCTCTGAAAATTGTAAATTATGGTATTGCAAGAATTGTGTTTATAATTATTTAGTGCTTAAGAGTTTTCTATTTGTTATTATATTATACTGGGAATATGATGTGTAAGTTTTAAGTTATATAGTTTTATTAAAAACCATACCCATATCTTTACCAACATTATATGGAACACTCATACTCATGTTACTTATATTAATCGATTAGAAACAGTACGCATAAAATGTGTAATTACATCTTATTTAAGTTAAATATAGATATAAATATGTGTATGATGATAAACTCCAACTAATATTTTATGAAACCTTTGATACTTATGGATGCTTAAAAAAATTTTAATGGTGGTGAATTGCTTTCTTTATTCAGTTTGAGACATAGAAAATATAGTGTTAATATTAAGTTTTCTATGTTTTGAGAGTTCCAAACTATATGAATTATTGAATTTAACCCAATATTGTACAAATATTCGGTTATACTCTCCGGAAAGTGAGATTATTATAACAGTTCATGCATAATTTTTATATTTTTACAGCTTACTGGCCAGCTTATCAAGTTTATGAAGCAAATAAATTAAATTGTTGTCATTTTTACTTACAATTAAATACATAACAAGAAATTGTTTTAATAGTACATGCATAACAACATTCTGTATAAATCAATTAGGGTTTCTTGTAGATACAAAATAAACTTAAAATTATTAAAAAATGTTTTATTTCCTTATCAAAACCATTTACTAAGTATATCTTGGCAAATGTCAAAATTTGAAAAATACTATAATATAATAAAATAATAAATAAGAAGAAATTGTCTGTATTTATTTGTGGCATTATAAATGTT